GGGCAAGCTCATGTAACCATCCGCTAACAGTACATACCTGCAAGTCTTGAGAGCGCCAGTGGCAACCGTCAGGCTTAGACTGGTTAGGAGTCAATTTCCCTTTTGTTTTCCATTTGGCCGCGAGTTTGGCCATTCAGAGGCACTAAAGCCTGGCCCTGAGCGTAACATCAATGCATTGCCCCATTAGTTGCTCACGCGGGCACTGCCTCATCGGGGAGAGGGGGATGTCCAGAGAGGGTGGAGTCAGAAACAGACCACACAGGGGATGCGACGGAGACAGGAACGAGTCAGTCTCTCGGAGATTGGCTGATCGAAACGATTACCGGGGAATGATGAGAGAAGCTCTGTGGATCGCCGGATGATATCCACCAAAAAGAAGAAGTGGTCAACAGAGAAACGATAGGAAGAGCAGGCATGACGTAGCGGGGGATCGGAAGGGGAAGTCTCTTGGTGCAGATCATGTGAAATTCCCAAGTCTCCAGTTGGTCCCCTCACTCTCAGTTCCGGGGTTCCCTTGGACTCGGTTTTCGGGCACTGTTCCTTCTTTTCCTTTCTGCACCTACTGGTTCCCCACGATGCCTCCGTTTCGCAATCTTCTCGGTCGAAAGCCCCAGCCCAATGGCCTCGAGTCCGATGGCTTCGACGAGGCCCGTCTGTCCCCAAACGGCCGCCCGGGGCCCGCTCCCATCACTATACGCCGGAGTTGCGATGACCAGCAGCCTCCCGAGTACAAACTGAGTGGTACGTCTCGACGGGACAAGGATTCTAGGATGCAATCAAAATATAAACCTTTCAGTGGAATTGTATGCTAATCTCCTCCGGATTCGATAGTCGTGAACGACAGCGGCGTTTATCTCCCGGTATATACTCCATCACCATTGAACAATGCGACCGACGACCCCCAGAGTGGAAAACAAAGACACATAAACTGATTACGCATAAAGCCCTCACCCCCTGAGAAACAAAGCTTCTGGCACCGATACCCCGGCTCATCGCGATCGGCTAACCATCGTGACCTTGTCGATGAGAACGAGCCTTTCTCCATATCCCGAGAATCATTCGATTCCTACCGCCGGTCATTTGTACATACTCCCATTACCATCCCTGGCCCAATGGTGTCAAACCGCCATACTTATCTCTAACAGGACATCTCTGCGCGGTCCCCGGTGATATACGCCGAAGCCGTGCCCTCCCGGACATCCCTGGACTCCCGCTTCTGCCGCATCAACTCGCCGTCCCTGCGATCGACCAGTTTCGAACGGCCCGATCGCATGGAAGAGGAAGCCTTTGAAGAAGTCGGTCTCAATGACGAGGCCAAGCCCAAGAAAAGGGGTCTTTTCGCACGTTTCGGCGATTCCTCTAACGACACCCAACAAGCAGCGAACAAGTCGTCGACATCCTTTGGGTTCCACATCCCCGGCAGGAAGCGTGGACAGAGCGGGGGTGGATCGGAGTTGAGCGCCGTCAAGACACCGACGACTACCGTAGCGCCCGCCCTTAGAGATGGGGAATAGTGGACGGCTTGAACATGCATGATAAGACGATTTTTTTTCCGACAATGGGGTTTGTTTTTCTCAGGGCGTTATGGTCATCTGGGGTGGCCCGATTATTGGACTCGGACCATGGTCTTTTGTTTCCCGGTGATAAGGGCACGCAGCTGTCCTTCATGGATGCAGGTTCTCATTGAGGAAGGATACACAGCTTTCGTTTCTTGTTTTTTTTTCTTTGTTTCCTTGTTTATTCTATCGTCTATTTCTTTTGTCCGGACCGTTGATCGAGGACTGGTTATAATGGCTGTACGGCAAGACCTAGTCCACTCGTTTCCCACCCTTTTGTTTAGAATTGGCTCTATATATTGCCAGATGAATTATGCGGTCAATCATCATGATCAATAATTATTCAAATTTCTACTGCATGCAATTTGTGACTGAAACAGGGATTTCCCTACTCCCTGCAAGCCTAAAAATCTTGTTCCTTTCCGCCTAATCGGTCGCTGGCTCTTATCGGTGCAAACTCTGCAAACAACTGGCAAAAAATCTCCCTCCGCCTGCAATCAAAAAAATTATCCACCGGCACGCTGAGCATCTGCAGCTCGGAAACCTACGCACCTATTTATCTCTACCCGGTCCAACGATAAAATCAGCGTCCCCGTGACCTATATTGACAATGGCCGGTGTCAAGCGTCGTGTCGATGGCGCCGAGGACCGCAATGGAAAGCGGAGCAAGAGCCAGGTCTCCGCACCAGTGAAGAAGTCCAAGACTGCTGCGCCAGTGAAAAAGAGTGCTGCTGCTTCTTATAAAAAGGACTCTAAGTCTAGCAAGTCCGACAAGAAGGTCTCCAAGAAGAAGGTTCAGCAGGAGGACTCCGAGGATGACGAGGACGACTTTGATATGGATGATCTTTCTTCGAACTCTGGAGACGACGATTTCGATACCCTGGATGCCACGGCCGACGATGTTGATATGAATGATGTGAGCGATGAAGACGAGGACAGTGAGGAGGTTGTCGAGGAGAAGCCCGCCAAGTCCGACAAGCAGGATACCAAGCAACAAAATGGCGAAGAGTCGAAGAGTACGTCTTTGTACCTGTTATGGTCACTGGCACTGAATTTTGACGAAAACTAACACGCATAATCTGATCAGACAGTAACTCTCGCGAGTCGCATCAAAAGCAAAAGGTCCTCCAGCAGGAGCGCAAGGCCGCCAAGCCCAACGCCGATATGATCGCCCGCTCCAAGAAGCTCTGGGAGCAGCTGCGCCGCAAGTCGCACGTCCCTCTGGAACAACGCAAGAAGCTCATCAAGGAGCTGTTCGAGATTATCACCGGCCGTGTCCGCGATTTCGTGTTCAAGCACGATTCCGTCCGAATTATCCAGACTGCGCTCAAGTACGGTAATTTGGAACAGCGCAAAATGATCGCGCAGGAGTTGAAAGGCAGCTACAAGGAATTGGCGCAGAGCCGCTACGCCAAGTTCTTGGTTGGAAAATTGATTGTTCACGGTGATACAGAGACTCGCGATCTGATCATTCCCGAGTTCTTCGGAAATGTCAAGCGATTGATCCGCCACCCGGAGGCATCCTGGATTCTGGACGACATATACCGCACCGTTGCGTCAAAGGAACAGCGCCGACGGATTCTGCGTGAGTGGTACGGTGCCGAATTTGCCATTTTCCAAGACGACAATGAGACCTCGGACTTGGCCAAGATCTTGGAGGCGCACCCCGAGAAGCGGGGACCTATCATGCACTTCTTGCATGAGCTCATCAACCACATGGTTCAGAAGAAGACCACCGGTTTCACACTCCTACACGATGCCATGTTGCAATACTTCCTCAACACGAAGCCTGGTAGCACCGAGGCCAACGAGTTCATCGAGTTGCTCAAGGGCGACGAGGAGGGCGATCTGGTGAAGAACTTGGCTTTCACCGCGTCCGGCTCCCGCCTGATGTCTCTGGCTCTGGCGTATGCCAACGCCAAGGACCGTAAGCTGCTGCTACGCTTCTACAGGGATACCATCAAGGCGATGGCAGGTGATGTGAACGGCCACGTGGTGCTCCTGGCCGCATACGAAGTCATTGATGACACGAAACTGAGCGGCAAGTCGATCTTCTCGGAGCTTCTCAACCAGAACGATGCCGAGGAGGCTCGTAACGAGGAGCTGCTCCTCCAGGTCAACGACCTAGTTGCTCGTGTCGCCGTTCTGTTCCCCTTCGCAGGTGACCGTGCCAAGTGGCTTCTTCCCGAGGCCGACTTGGAGGTGTTGAAGGAGATTCGTGAGGTCCGGAAAGAAACTTCCAAGAAGGATCCCGCTATCCGTCGTGGCGAGCTCGCTGCGGCCGCCTCTCCCACTCTACTCGCTTTTATCGCTGCCCGTGCCGAGGCTCTTCTGGAGACCTCCTTCGGCTGCCAGTTCATCGGCGAGGTCCTCTTCGAGTCTAGCGGTGACAAGAGCGCTGCCCTGGAGGCCGTCGCCAACGCCGCCAAGACCCAGTCCGAGAAGCGTGACTCTGCTGCCTTTGGCCGTCTCCTCAAGTCTCTCGTGCAGGGTGGCCGCTATAATCCCGCGACCAAGTCCGTGGACAAGGTGACTCCGGCCCTCAACTTCCACGATCTGCTGTACGAGCAGATCCGTGACGAGGTCGTGGAGTGGGCTACTGGCCCCAACACCTTTGTGATCGTCGCGATGGCCGAGTCGGACGACTTCAAGGGCAAGGCCGAGTTGCTCAAGACTCTTAAGCAGAACAAGAAGGCCCTGACGCAGGCTGCGGAGGCTGGCAAGGGTGAGAAGAAGGCCGGACCTGCGGCTAGCGGTGCCAAGCTGCTGCTGGAGAAGCTATAGAATATGGGCATTTGGGCATTGGCTTCATCATGTTTACTTGTTACTGTTCGAAAGGGCGTTTTCTCCACGGATGTCGTTATTTTGTAATGTGTACAAACGGAGTCCCGAATCAAAAGCATAAAAGCATTCTATTCTGATGATGATCTCTGCCAACACCTGTTATATACCTTTGTTGATAATCGGGTCGTTGTCGACGTAGGTTTCGAGGTTCTAATCTATGCTCCGTACATATGCCAGGGATGTTTTATTGCGATGGCATCTGAAACTGCTTTGGTTGTTCGAATCCCTCCAATCATCCCGATGAATTGCGGCTCCACTCCGTAGTGGAGTCCCGTGGATTGCATCCGCGGGATCTCAGGGGTTCGTTCCCAAATTCAAAATGATTCCAACAGTAAGTTCGGTCCGATCATTGGACGAAATCCGCTGAAACAAAATGTCCTTGCTTTTCAGCTTGCAGCTATGCCAGCGGTATCGCCGTGCAGGTACCCTTTATACGACCGTTGACTGAGCTACAGTATGAGCGACGAGCTATTGTACGAGGCGTGGATCGTAATTTACTATTGGTCGCTCCGACAGGGTCAGAGAGTCCGCTCTAGACTTTTTAGACCCCTTTGGCCGTTGAGAAACGAGGTGTTTTACTCGACAAGCGCTAAGGTGGAGGTGTAATTAAACGGACGAGCCAAGAACGAACGCTCTGAACTATTGCTGCACGAACACAATGCCTTGTTGACTTGCACGTCTCTTTGTGACTCGTATACTTCCCACCTCGTTCCCAACCCACACCGACTACAGTTACTTCTCTCCCAACTTAATCTCCTCCTCCCACCAACCACTCTGCTTTTTGACCCATCACTCTACTACACAATAGTGACTCTCTAGTCCCTCTCAGCCAACGGCACACGATTACCTGATTACCTTCAACCGCACCCTTCCGAAACGGGCAATGATCACAGTACGCTAAACCGCATCCACCGCGTGCCCGTTAGGGGCAACTTTTTCGGGGTGTGCTCCAAACAAACCGAGCCTGAACTCGACGAACTAACTCAAGACGGTATTCGATCTGGGGACTGGTCTTCCTCTTTCTGTCTCTCTCCCTCCTTTTTTTTTCCCTCTTCTCTCCTCCACGTCAACCGCAAAGCAAGTTCCCCGCCATCACGCATGCCCTCCCTCACGCTGACCGACCCGGACATGATCCTGCCGTATGACGGCAGCGAGCGCGAATCCCAAACTCCCTCCCCGCCCTCCCAACTCGTCTACTTGACCAACCTGAACGCCCGCTACAACGCCGCCGATCCCAATGCCGGCTCCGCGCGCCCCAAGAAAATTTTTTCTCGCCATCGCGCCCATGACGATGTGAATGCGAGTCGTCGATTATCCGATATTGGGGAGGAGATGTCGCCCGCGCGGTCCGAGGTGTTTGACGACGTCGAGGTTTCGCGGCACCAGCAGCAGAGGCACATGCAGGGGTCACGAGGTTCGCCTCTACCAAGGAGTCAATTGACGGTCTCGGAGACTCAGGATTCTGGGAATGCGGCGCGGAGTAGGAGCTCCAGCTCGACGGTGAGTGCGCGAAGCGGGCGCACTTCGGGAGAGACGTCCTCGCCGCAGACTGCGTCGGAGACGTCGCCGAATGTCAATGCAGCGGAGAACGCGACCAAGACTGGTAGCGGAGATGGGGCCAAGACGGGCGCTGGGTTACCTGATAGCAGCATTGTCGCATCTGCTGTCAAGGGTAAAGGTCCTGGGGAAGATTTAGCGTCGGCGATCTTGAGCAGCGAGGCGGAGAGGATCCTTGAGAATGCAAAGAAACGTCTGACGGTACGTGGAGGAAACGGCCATTCCATAATGGGGGACGACGGCATTGGCACATTCCAGTGGGAAGCTGACGTGTTTTCACAGTTGATGGAGGGCAATTTGAATCGCGCACGCTCAGCGGTGCGTCCGACGCCCTCGCCTTCGCCGTCTTCGCCGGGGAGTACCTCGCCCATGGGTTTGCACCCGGGTGGATTGTATCGATCGATTTCAAAGACCGATCGCAAGAGTTCGGCTCTGCGACGGCAGTCATTCGTTCCGAGGCAAGATAGCTCGAGTAATCGCCATTCGCGCGTGCATAGCGAAACCAACTTCCCGGCCGAGTCGAGCTTGTCGTCGGATACGAAGCGAGTGTCTCGGTCAGTTTCTGCGATGGGATCAAGTAGTTCGTCTAACTTTCACAACGACGACCGGTCTTTCCGATATGAACCTACGCGGTCGTATCTCACGCATCGGGCGTCGATCTCATCCATCCGACCCCCGCATTTACTCAAAGCACAATCGCCTCAGCCAACGCAGTCTCCAGTCTCTGCGGGATCTCCGGTTCTGCAGTCTCCCGTCATACGTGAAGATAGCTCATCCTGCTCCTCGCCGAGGGGCTTGGGCATTTCGTCCGAGGGCGATTCCAAATCCAACGGAGGCGACTTCAGCCCTGTCTACAGCTCGTACGGCCCACCCAGCCGTGCGCAGTCGCAGCTGCAGGTACGCGATCTTCAGTACCAGATGAAGGGCCTCCACATCAAGATTTCCTCGCTCAAGGTGCGCACGCAAGAGGACAATCTGCGGCGTCGCAGCTTGCAGAGCCTGCGCACGCCTAGTCCTTTGACTGCCGCGGACCCTTGGTATCAGAATGGGCTGGAGGTTCGCGACGGACGCAGCAGCCGTGGGTCGAATCCTCGACGAGATGGGAGCTCGGAATATGCGCGCGAGACTCAATCCAGACCGTATACGGAAGCAGCCTCGAAAGATCGGAACGGGTCTTATGATCCGGAGCGTATCAACGATAGCTCCGTTGAGCCAAGCCCTCATCTCTCGCAAGGCACGGGTGGATCATGGCAGGGCCATGAGCATAGCGACTACGATGGCCGTCAGTCTGTGGCGGAGACCATGTACGAGGATGCCGAAGAGGGCGATTACTATGACGACGGCGAAATTGACCGGGAAGCACTGGATGAGATTCTGCGTGAACCACTTGATGCAGACCTAGCGACGCCCCACGAGGAACGCGAGGATGCCTTTGATTACGAGCACTTCATTCTTCACAGTGCTTTGGGTAATTTCTCGCAGCAGATGCGTCGTGTAAGCGTTAGCTCTCATGGCTCCGTTGAGACAACGCGACCCACGCACTCGGTGCGACACTCGCGCACCAACAGTTCTCTTTCTGCCTCGACCGATGCTACGTTCGCTACGGCTACCGAGGGTGAGCCGATGCCCGACGATGAGGATGATCTTCTATACTGGGATCGCAAATTCAACCATGAACTGCGTCACCGCCACCACAGTCAACATGCCCATGCTGTCAATGAAACCGACCGCACCGCAACGCCCCGTGGCTCCCGTGACGACGAAAATGCCACTCCAGTTGAGGTTCCGCAATCTCCCGCACGAAGCGTGGATATGAATGGTCGCTCGACGGCCGGCTCTGCGACACCGACCTCCCTTGTGTCTTCTCTCGTCTCGACGGTGCGCGCAGCATCCAGTCCGCACCCGGCCTCTGCGACGCCCACTGTGGGCGGTATCAACGATGACGACACCCAGATGCTAGAGCAGCTCTTCTCCAGTCTCGGAAAGGTTTGCATGGACCTTCAGGCCATCACCACCTCGCCCGATCCAGATTCCAAGGCTGCGCGTGTACTGCGTCGACGACTAGATGCGGCGCGGAGAGTTCTTGACGGTGAGCTTGACGCTTGATATAAAGTCATTGTTTGGATGATGTCTGCCATGGACGGTGCTTCGAGTTTTGAGTATCATTTTGGCAGCCCTTCCGTTCCTGTACATTCTACTATTTTCCTTCCATTTTTTTTTTCTTCTATGATACCCAATGTCCTTCTCTACATTTTTTTATCGGACTTTTTTTCTTTCTGTTCGATTATCATCTATGTCAATAGTAATGTCTACTATACGATAATATTGAGGTTGCTTCTTCCCTTTGCTTGGAAACGATCTCAATAACCAAGGGTATTTTACTTCATTTAAAAAGCAATACCATAACGCAAACCAACTGCCAATACTATTTCTAATCCTTTCGCCTGACCACAATCTAGTCAATAAAGTAACAAATTCACGCGCTCGTGGCGGATCTCCTCCCTCGACCTCGACCCCCACCACCATAAAACGCGTTGCGGCAAATGAAGTACGACACAGCAATGATCGATCCACCACAGAGTTCCCCCATAATTCAAGCTTCATCATAAGCGTACCGAACTCTTCATCACGACGCGACCCAGTTTATCTAATCACGATCTATCGAAAGTCCCCCTTGGTGGCGCACATCAACGACGCAGTTAACCCTTCCCCCCCCCTTTTTTTTTGCCCCGCGGTTCCCCCTCCACGTTCCGATTTGATCGCCGGTTCCACGCGATAAGCAGAACCTGTCGCGAATTGCGATTCTCTGTACGGACAGTGCACCGGTTGGATTCAGTGGTATTCAGTAAGATCGTATGAAGAGATGCGACTCCATTTATCGAATTACATTATGCTAATCAAATCTCACAGACCGAAATACTCTCTCGCCAGCCCAAGGCGCGAAAACACCTACTCCAACCGCGGAGAGAAAAAAACAGTTGAAGTTACCATCAAATATCAAGCGCTTGATTCGCGCAATATCTACCGGGGAATATTTGATATCCACAAATATCCAAAAGTGATAATCATAACAAGACTTGTCTCCGTCACTTTCACTATTTCTTGCAACACCACATCACCACCATGAACAAACCACAACATCCCCAACCCTCCCGCCGCCTCGTCATCTTCCAGGAGACGCGCAACCCGCACAACACCGCAGAAGTGGTCTACCTCCCCGTCAACAAACTCGGCCTCCCAATTTGCGGCGATGGTCCGGACCTACCCTCGATCCTGGAACTGCCCTTGCGCATTCTAAAGGTTTTTACGGATATCTTTAATCAGCCAAAATATAAGGGGTGGTATGTTACACCTGCCTTCCCCATGCTTGGATTTATATGTCCCTCCTTCCTGTTGCCTAGAGCCTAAGCTAACATCGTGTTTCTCTGTCCTTTTGGTGGTTAGGGCCGTTCTTTCTGCGGGTCGTTACCATGATACATCCGAGGAAGGAAAGTTTTATGCGGTGATTTTGGAACAGAGTTTTGTACCGGGCCAGCAGGTATCTGGGCAGGGGACGATGGATTTGGGGACTGTGACGCCGTGAGAACATCCATATGGGGATGAAGGTTAAAGAATGCTGGTTTGGGGTGTTTTGACTTTGTATTATTTAATTTCTCTTTTTTGGTGTTATGATTCCTGCGAATGAAGGGTGTATGATCTTCTTTCTATCTTGAAAGGTCATGGACTAGATCCTAGGTCAACAGTTTTTGAATAGATAGCTTCGAGCTACTACCCGAAGCGCGGTGTAAATCTCATAAGAGGGACTTGTTGACTATTACCAAAGAAGGATCAAGCGGGACATTTATTCACGGTATCGTCGAAAACAGACAGGACACCTTGTGCCCTTTTACCATAGAGAACCGAGATCAGTTAAGAAGGTAAAATCCGTATTACTCCGCGCCTGTCTAGAGTTTTAAGGCTCAAAATGCCGAATTATACCAGTATTTATGGTACTGTTAGCAGATATTTCTTAGCTTGCTTTACTCTGAATCCTGAATAGGTTTGGATCCATGTTCAGTGATGGATTGCAGAAAGCTGCATATGAAGCTTTGATAAGCATTAACTAATGTAGGTTGAAATATATGGTTATAACGTGAAGAGAGATGTGTGGATGAACTACGAGTACGCCCGTATGTATGCATACTCACGTGACATACGATGCCCTCATCACGTACCAGCACATCTTCAACTACCACACCTCCAAACTTACGACCTACGATCGTGAAGAACAAGAAGACGACTTATTCTGACAATTAGTTTGACATTGAATCCTAACAATTACTCTTGAACAGCAAGACGACATGAAAGTCCGGGCAAGTTTCGCCTCCGAACACCAAAACACCATCTGAATCCCACAGACACCGTTTGAAAGGCAGAAAGAATAATCAGAACAAAATGATGACCCCTGCCTCGCTCAGAATTCATGCACGAAGTTCCTTTTTTGCATTATTTTCTTCTCAAGCAGTGGAATCATCCATCCCCTTGAAATCATACAAAATCGATGACGTTGTTGCGACTCTGACATGTATTAAATTTCCCACCCTATAAGGGTGCTCAGCGAGAGATCTGAATTCATGACTCGTAATTTAGGTGTTGTGCGGCAGGAGCAGACCAGCGCTGTGGCGAAGGTCGAGCGAACGCGAGTCTTGGGCATCGAAAATGGCATTGGTGCGCTCCTCGAGGTAGTAAGGGGTGACCTGGATCATGTCGAACCAGCGCATAGCATACTCGTCGCTGCCGTCGACTGCCTTGAGGGTGCCATTATCTGGGCGAACGACCGACTTGGGGGGAAGGCTGCGCATGCGGAGAAGCATGTGCAGGATGTCGGCGAAGCGCTCGGATTGGCTGTAATAGTAGGGCGGGCGCTTATCCAAGGGCCACTGTGAAATGTTAGCAATCTGGGCATTTTAGAGTCCAAAGAAGACAAGTCAAACCTACCCGCTGAGCAAATGTTTCGTTATCCCATGAGCGGAAGAGCCAACAGGTACGCTCGACGCAGTTCAGAAGAACGACAGCAACGAGGAAGGTCTCAAACCAGCCAGTCTTCTGGCGCTGGAGCAGACGGCGCTCAAGGTCGTTGATGACTGACTTGCTCAGCTGCATGGCACGCTTCTCCATGGCGGCTCGCAGCTGGCTGCACAGCAGGGCGTACGACTCGGGATCCGATACTTCCTCAATTGGAAGGCGACCCTCGTCCGAGGGCTGGGACAAAGAGTGCATCGAGGTGGGAGGAAGCGTGGGGTTGCAGTAGGTCTTCCAGGAAAGCTCATTGTCGACCAAAATGTGAGTAGCGACCCACAAGTCCACGGCACGTTCAAGGAGGGTATCCTTCTTAGCCTGAGCTAGCTCAGAGGCCAGCAGTAAGGTGGACTTCATAAAGTTGGACTCCTCACGCTCGAGGAAGAACGTAGCAGTCTTCTTGATGTACAATTCCAGCTTACTGGGAATATCATCGGCATCGCTGTCCAGCAGGTAGATTTCCTGGGTAGGTGCAGAGAACTGGTCGTCGCCCAAGCCCTGAAGCTGCGGGTCAAGAGCCGAGACAGAGGCACGGTGGCCCTGGAGTCCGCTAATGGTAACATAGACCAAGCTCTCCTCGTGATGAGTCACTTCAATGCGGCCAGCGTAATGCTCGAACTTGACCTGGTTCTTAATGGAGTTCGTGTCGTGGTAGGCAAGAGTTGCGTGCAGATCTTCTCAAATTAGTCATCAAGCAAACAAGAAAGTACCGAATGAGACAGAACTTACTGGCATTGTAGAGCTCGAATTCTTCAGACAGGCGAGTTCGGATACACGGGTGCTTCCAAAGGCGAGCACTCTCAACACTGGCACAGGTGGTGCAGGGAGTTTCTCCCGAGCACTAAAACTTAGTGTCAGTATGCTCCTTGACAAATCAGGTTGTTAATTAATCAGCGATGGGATTCATACCGGCTTCTTCAACATGCGGCAACGGATGCACGCTCCGCGCTTGCGCACTTCTTGAACCTCGCGACGACGCTCATCCGAGAAGCGGCCGCGAACCTTGGGCTTGGCAGGTTTGGTAGAGTTGCCAAACTCGTTGACAAACCCCTTGGCCTGGGTATTGGGGTTCATTGCAATGGGCCGTGGGAACGATGCGGCGCGCTGGGTGGCAGCAGTCAGGGACGGGTCATGCTCCTGCAGACTGTCGAACAAGAGTTGCTCGTGGGTCGTCAGCTGCTGACCCCATTGACCCATCTTCAATCCGTCATCATCCATTGTCAGTCCCTGAGGGACCATCTCGTTGGCAGAGGCGGCAATCATCGACAGCTGTGACTGGCGCGCATTGGAGGTCGAATCGGGGGTCATCGAGTGGTCGCCGAGAGGGGGCGACATGGAAGTATGGTGGTCGGAGGTATGGCTGGGGAGGGCAGGAATGGTAGGAGTACCAGAGGGGTGAGCATTTCCTGGCAAAAAGGCCATTGTTAGCATGCTAAATCTCGTCTTGAATATTTTACCACCACCACCAAACCACTTACCCTGAGCATTCTCGTCTTCATCTTTGACATCGGACTGAACGGTGAACTCGGCCTCTAGTGCTGGATCAACTACCACGGTCTTTCCACCGGACGTCACGGACTGAGTATATGCAGGGCCTCGTTTTGTATGATCCGAGGCACCCACCTGGCGGGACGCCTCTGCAAGCACGTTTAGACCATCGAAGTTGGGGCGAGTACCGAAGGAACCGTCGCCCTTCTTTCCAGCAGGCGCATTGGGATCCTTGTTGGCATCACCTTCGGCCAGGTCGGGAAGTTCATGAAGGCGCAGGAGAACGCGCTGACGATCACGAAGCGGAATGGCCTGGCACTTCTTGACCAGGTGGTTGGTGAGGCTATCGATACGACCTTTCGGGAACTTTTCGCCACAGGCCTTGCAGGTATGCTGATAGCGGTTGCTCGAGTCCTCTAGCTTAGGACCTCGAATGAAGAACTCAAGAATGAGCTGATTGGGCTTACGACCCATTTTGAAGAGGAGACCGTAGGTGGTCGGGCCCGGTGAGGGAGTGTGCGTGTATGTAGGTGGGGGGAAGAGTCGGGATTTGCCGACGCGTCAGTGACCAGAGTCCACCGACGACTCCAATTGCCTTGATGGCACGTTCGAGTCCCCGTCAGCGATCAAGTAACACGCGCGATGACCGTCGGCCACAAAGCAGCACGCGGTCTGGACGAATCAGAGGGGAAGGGCAGAAACCCAGCTGAGCACAACAACACGTCAGGTCGACGTGGCGGGCGACGACCTCGACAAGTGAGGGCAGGGGCAGGCCGAGGAACCAGGCACAGCCCAAGTCGAGGTGCACGTCGTCGTCAACGAGCAAGAATGTTTTTCGTATGGATGTGCGGGCAAAACTGGGGGGGCAGTAGAGGGCGGTCTGCACGTCGCAGGGGGGAAAGGAAGGCGATGAGGCTTCACCGCACGGGAGGCGGTGATGAAATGAAAAGGCGGTGATGATGAAGTGGAAAAGGCGGTGATGGAAGAGGATGAAGGCGGTGATGGAGGGAGAAAGAGGGGGGAAAAGGAGAAAGAGGACAGAAGGCGGTGATGGGGGGAAGAATAAAAGATACGGGAATGGCGAGGATCAGTCAACGACCGTTCAACGGAGGGGCAAAGGTGGAAAATGATGGAAATTGCCATCAAGTACGGAGTACTTTCTAAGCAAAACTTCCACTTGGGAAGGCACCTCCCTGCAATTCTGTATCGTCCACTTGCTGGGTTTGACTTTGGCTGGCCACACCCACACCCGCATCTATGTCGAGATCCTGCATAGTTAGATTTCTTTTCTTGTTCTACGTAGTTTTGAGGTAATTGTGAATCGGATAATAATAATAATAATAATAATAACATAATAATAATTGGGCTTGTCCTCTTCTAGCAAATTCGCTGCTCTGGAGGTCGCCAGGGTACCCCTAGCACTGCGAAGATCCGCCGCTCATCGCGACCTTCAACCAGTTGGCCTGGATTGACCTTCAACTGCCCATTACGCAGCACATATGTATAGAGTCCTCGCTGATTCAAGCACATCCCTTTCTTCCGAGCAAGCAATCGCATACTACGATTGAAGATGTCGTTGCCCGTAAAGTATATCATCGCCGCTCCAAATTGGGCTCCTGGAACGAACAGCAGATCTAGACGTCGCCAGACTGTGCTCTCCGGGATCATGGATGCCCCCTGCCATTTAGAACCGTCTCCGTTCCGTCGAGAAGTCTGCAGACCAATTTGCAGAAACCCATCCTGGAACAGCCGAGGCACCACGGTATCCAAGATCAGCGACCGAATTTCTTCCAAAGTGGCGTCTGACTTGGTGATAAGCACATCAATGTCGCCCGAATCTTGAGCCCCGCGGCGGTAAGAACCTGAGATGATCACCTGCATATCCTTGTCCACCGCCTGGACTGCCTGTCGCACTATCGCCCCGTGGGCCTCGACCTCCTTGCGCGGGATCCGCTGTGCAAAATCTTGGTAGCGTTCCAGGCCGATGCGCTGATTCTTGGTCAAAGGCGCTCGCTCACGAAGGTCGTCCAGACTCCGGTATCCTTGCGCCACCCATTTGGACGCCTGGGCAAGGCCACATCCATAGATCCCGAGGAACTCCTGGATGATATTCTCTTCTTCCGTCTCGTTGGTATGGTCAAGCCGCCGCAGGTGGTCGGTCATGACGATTTCTTCAATCTTGTCTGCCAGCCGATCTCCAATACCAGGGATAGACCGTGCCTCCGTTCTTGACATGATCTTCTTAGTCTGTCGCCGGAGCGCATTTATCCCCTTGCGATAAGCCAGCGTCCGCCAGTGATCTCCCGTTCGCGTATAGTAATCTAGCATTTGTTGCAAGACTTCGATGGTTCGGTTGTTTGGGTTTTCGCGCTTTGCATTGGGATCAAACTTTTGCATACAGGCAAAATTGCGCGCCCATAATTCAACGACAGGCTCTCCTCGCAAGTGCTCCCTTGATCGGGATTGATCAGCCTCTGATAAATCTGACTCACTTTCAGAGTCGCCAGGTTCCTCGTCGGAGCAGTCGATCGGGTCAAGGGGCTGGCCAGACTTGTTAGTTGGTGAGAACTCGTATTTCTTTGGTGCTACTCACCAGGTGACTAGTTGCTTTCGCCTCGGCGAGCAAATCATCGAGAGGATCACGTTGACGAGTCTCTTCAGGGCTGTCCTCCGGGACAGAAGACCTGACAATTACTTCGGATGCAGCAGGACTGCTCGTCATTGCCTCTTGAATCGGGGGTTGTGATGGCTCTGGGGTCTTGTCCTTCCCTTTCCTCGGTACCTTCAGGGGCAGAGATTCCACCGAGACTGGCACATTTGACAAAGCCTGAACTGGAACTGAAGCCAAGGCATCATTATGGCCAAATTTCGGGGTTCCTTCCACGCGGAATCGCACTTGTGATGGACTCAGAATAGAGCGAAATCTGATGCATTCTGGTGGGAAAGACTCATTGACAAGAGCCACGCTTTCCTATCACGACATTCAGCATATGCAGTTTCGTCACGGGCGAAGTGTACTAACCGGAAAAGAGTCGAGTTTGAGGTGTTTGAGAAGATCAGAATACTGCAGACCCTTATCCACGACCACATGCGTGATGCTCTCAGTCCAATTTATGGCCCAGTGAGCACCGTATTCCCGTGCTCGCTGGATGCGCAGTCGGCGAGAGGGAGAGATATCATTGTTCGGGAAGAAGACTGAGATGAGAGGTTAGTAACAGAGAAGAGTGACGACACGCAAATCATAAGAATGTCTCACAGAAAACGAGTTCTCTGAATATCCGCTGCTCCTCAGGAACCAGCTTAATTATACTATTTGTTCTCATTTTCTTCAGGGCAGGGCCTTCTTTCCTAAGGCCTGGCGTGCTGTTAGGCATCGTGCCGGTGGTCTGGGAGCGCTTCACCGTCCTCAAATTCGATTCTGGAGAGTGAGGCTGCCTTTTAGGGTTCGTAATATGGGCGCTCACTTCTTCTCGAAGTTCTTTGTGCGTATACGAGGAGGAAGGCGCCGTATTTGCCCGGGTCAGCGCAATAGGCTCCGCGTTGGGTGCGGCAGCGGTCGAAATTATTATTTTTGTAGGCGTTGCGCGATACAGAAGACGCTCCAGAGAATCTTCATCTTCCTGAGAGTCATCGGAGCAATCCAAATGCTCGAGGGCACGAAAGAAGCTAGTCTTGCTTGTCCTTCCCGACATGATGGCGGGCTAGTCAGGCATCCGATAGCGAAAGTAGCGTCTGATCCACGGAGGAGTCATCGCAGTTGCCTGGGAGGTACTGAGCCAGGCCAGATTAGTGGTATTATCGTGTCACTACCGTGTCACAGCAGGCAGCTCCCACCACGCAGTTGTCGGGGTGAAGCACTCGAACCAAAGTTATAGCTCCCGTGGACGCGGCGTTGCGCGAAAACGCCGCCAAGTCACGGGACTGCCCATATAACTCAATCCGTCTGCATAAGAGCCTGAATACACACACAGCTTAATAGGTATCTACATTTACCAAGCTGTCTTCGCACCTATGGATCGTCATCAATAAGCTGCTCTTAAAGTATCACGCAACTGGTACGGTGTTACATTCTATATACTTTGGAGGCTGAGCCTCAGCCGTAGAGAAGCATGTATCTCTCTCTATATGAGTCCAGACAAAGCATTTAAAATTTGAATGAAAGCTGGTATGTCCATATCCTGCATGGGATTCTACATGACTTAGTAAAAGTAGAGGCTTGCTAGGACCATTGAAATCCAACTCCAATTTGACCATGGATCATGTGATCTGACCTTCCCCATTCAGGCAATTTTGAAGATCGCAAACCTACCGAACCGACGGAGACTCAACTTTGCCCGAATCCAGCTGTTGCGCCCGGCATCCTATCACATACTTACACTAACCAAGATGTGGAAATTGCCACTGCCAACTTACTTGGTATCGGAGCTCCCATTCCTCCAAAGTGGACGCTGTCTAAGCTGCCAATTCCGAAGCACCGCAGCAATCTCCCATCTCCGCGCGAGATCCTCCGCAATACGCCACTATGCCTCTACATCAAGCACAAAAGAAGCAAAGCCCAGCAACAGTAGTTCGGAGGCGACTATATCACCCCCGCCGCGCAGGGAACCCCAGCCTGTGCGGCGCGGCACGCAATTCCAACAAAACCCAGACATGAAACCCCAGCCGGGCGATACGGATTTCAAGCCGCCAATGCTGGACCGTCCAATCGGGGCAACTACACCGCCGATGGCTGGCCAAAATACAGGAGTAGACACCCGGTCTTTGAAGCAGAGGCGAGACGAGTTTGTGGACTATGATCGGCATATTGAGCGGCGGAAAGAACTGTACGTTCTCGTCCATCACCCAGGAATACGGAAATAGTATCCAAAGCTAACAATAACTCAATAACTCTCTAGTACACGTCAAGTCGCCAAACCCTATTTCCGAGAATGGTCAAACCTACGTTTCTTGGAAGGCAAAACCTTCGTGTCGAACCCCCGGCTTTTCAAAGGCGACAAGGCCCTATACTTCCCCAACATGTCCGGCGTAACACTCGCCGAGCCAAAAGATAAGCAGCATACCACGTCCATCCTGCAGGGCAAGATCAGCGTCGTGAAATTGTTCTCCAGCGTCTGGGCGGAAACCCAAGTAGGAACATTCACGGGGCCAGCGCAAAACCCCAAGCTGGCAGAGATCCTGACCAAGAACCCGCAATTTGCGCAGATAGTGGATATCAATTTGGAAGAGAACCGTATGAAGGCAGCGCTTGTGAAGATGTTCATGTGGAGCATGCGCCGTAAGTTGCCCGCTCAGCAGCACTCGCGGTATTTCCTGGTGCAGAAGGGCTTTACCGAGACCCTCAAGGAGGCTGTCGGCATGATGAATTCCAAGGTCGGGTATGTGTATCTTGTGGATTCGGAGTGTCGTATCCGTTGGGCTGGCAGTGGTAATGCCGAGCCAGCGGAGATGGAAACCCTTAATGCGGGCTTGCAGAAGCTCATTACGGAGAGAAAGGCCATCTACGAAGCTGAAATGGCTAATCGCAAGTAAAAGGAAAAGATGGAAAGCCAAGCGCGAGATTGAATCAGGGCTACCTCCTCAAAGAATCACTGTATCATACGGAGTCTCCACTCAACAACTGGATTTGTACATAATATAGAGAATGTGTATAATAGAAAGAACATAAGACGCCATTACGAGCTCACTCCCGTTGCAATAGGGAGTCCTCAAGTAAAAATGCCCAGCCCCCGAAACGCCTCGATGAAAACCAACAAGAAATACTTAGTCGCTGTACGAGCTGCATGACGCGCAAGAGGTGAACCGAGAGACGGAGCGCAATGACACTAAAGCAAATTATGAGACGAGCCCAGCCCGCCTACCGGAAGTATACCAGCATCAAAAAGCAGAATCCAATGAAACAGCCCAGGATGATAGCATCTCGCCGCTTCTTGGTCCCAATCTTTCCGATCAAGTAGTTCATACCGGGTACCTGGCTGGCAGCACCGACGATGCGCCGGTTGATGCTGGCAAGAGTTTCACGTTGAATTCCAAAGTTCTCGTTGATGGCATATGCCTGGCTGAGTACGCCGTCAATCATGTTGTGGCTGTTCTCTACTCGCCCTCGCTCCTCAAGCATATAGTCGGCCTCGGCCGCGCCGGGGATAGATGCGTGGTAAGCGTCGATATCGGAGCGGACATTGGAAAGTAGATTGGCGCGGTCGCGCGACTCGGCGATAGCGGAGGTCAATCGTTGGAGCTCCCGGCGGTGGTCGGCCAGGACTTCGCGGTGGCGGGCGAGGTTATTCTGTTTGAGGGCGGAGGAGGTGAGGGTAGCCTCGGAATCGAGGAGGCGAGAGAGTTGGGAGATGAGCGATTCACGCTGTATGAGACAGTCAGTCGTGATACTCTTTGCTTTTTGTGTAGGACTGGACTTTGGGGGGAGCCTGGTGTCGACGTACTCGTTCAAGGAGGTTTTTCAACTGGGACTCAAGCCGTAGCTCCTCCTCTGTAGGAGACGGTGGTGGTTTGGCGAGGGAGCTGAACTGTGCGTATGTATGGAAGAGCTGCTCGGTCTGGTTGTCACACTTCGTATTAGTCTTGTGTCTCTTGTGTATGAGATCATATCGTCGCCGAGCTATTCGGTACCTGAGTTTCGAGCGAGCGGGCTTGCTGTCGAAGCTGTGCCCATCCAGAACCTGTGGACGTCATGATGTGGAGATGGTAGATGGTTCACAGAAGTCTATCAAATCGACGCCGACTCAATTTCCACTCTTTCTATTTCACCCATTTAAACCCCGGACATGCCAGAGAAGGCCCGCTGCCACTCGACGTAAGTGCACCCCTACAGTCTAACCCAATCCGGTAGAGGTCTCGCCGCCTGAACGCCTTAACACCTCGACACCTCGACACCTCGACACCTGAAGACAGGGGTGTAAAGCGGCTGCCTTGAAAATCAGACACCCACACATTTTTCACTTTTCCAGTCTCGCCCATCATCACGTGCCCGTTTAGTGCGACCAACTCGCTTAGCCCTAGTCCCACAACCACAATTTGGTCTATCGGACATCTTCAATTTTCAACGCCGACAACCCAGCACACAACACACGCCACCATGGTAGGTTCTACGACAACCGCTTCATGTGGAATCTCGCGCTGATGGAAGTTACGTCTAGTCGTCCAAGGTCAAGGCTGTCCAGCTCTGGGGAAAGAACAAGGAGGAGCTCTCCAAGCAGCTCGAGGAGTTGAAGACCGAGCTTAACCAGCTCCGCGTCCAGAAGATCGCCAACGGCGCTTCCACCAAGACTCAGAGAATGTGCGTACAACGACACCGGCATCCCTACACCACTACACTATTTCACGTATGGATTTCTGCGACGAGCGACCGGGATCTGGGGGTTTCGTGCGATGAGAGACTCGGGCAACGGAACAACCACGATGGAAAAATTTTTCACGAACTCTCAAACTTCGCAACAACGATTAAAACGATACATCAATTATCCCGGGACCACGTCGCAGAAATGAATCATCCATCGCTTTCCGCATGTTTGCACGAAAACATCGAAATTTTGAAGAACGTACACTGACCCTGGACTCTTTCTCATCTACAGCTCCGAGGTTCGCAAGTCGATCGCTCGCGTTCTCACCGTCATCAACGCCAACCAGCGCGCTCAGCTGCGTCTGTTCTACAAGAACAAGAAGTACATCCCTCTGGACCTCCGCCCCAAGCTCACCCGTGAGCTCCGCCGCCGGCTCACCAAGTTCGAGGCTACCCGGACCACCGAGCGCCAGCGCAAGCGCCAGATCCACTTCCCCCAGCGGAAGTACGCCGTTAAGGTATGAAGAATTCCGGCAGTGAGTGTGGAATGGTCCTGTTGTCTGGATGTTGTCAATGAACACCATCACAACGGAATCAGACTCCCCACAACTGCACCCTGTCATGTACGTCGGTACTTTTCCAGAGAATCCTGCTAACATGTCGAATCAATAGGCTTAAGTGCAGAACTTTATCGGATCGGGAGTTTTGTGGGGGAAAGACGTTACTTGCCCTTGGACACATTAAACAGGATGTGTGATGTGTGGACCTGAGCGGGGTCGATTTTCTCTTTTTTTTTACATCCAAAAAATGGAACTTGATTGTGTATCTTAAAAAACGATGCAAATCGACTCTTGACATGACATGACAACTTAGACGTGCTTTCTACTTCGGTCAATGCTGGAATTCTCGAATACCAAAGGAGTTGATGCGCCCCATATATTGGTCTACAGCGGCCTTCGTTATCTGGTTTGCTTTGATAGAGCCCTTACACTGTGAGGCACGCAATTTCTCCTGGTCTATTTGGTCTAGATCCTCTTATGGATTGTCGTAAATTATGGGGTCCTCTAGTGACTTGGTGTGTCTACATAGGACCCTACTCATGATACTACACAACTTTTGTGACACTACAACGCTAGGCCTCATTAATAACGCGCCTCCCTGACGAACAAAAACGGGCCAAGGATGGTAATATGATCCGCAAGCAGCGGTTCTGTATAGGTATGCACGGTGGATTCCCATATGCTTAAACTCCTAACTACACTTCTAAAATATCATACTAACTATGCTCCAAAAGATAAATTGAGAAATCTGACTAGGGCTCTATGAAAGATAATCGGAAAGACATTCCAGACGACCTTAAGAAATAGAAGAGGGTGAATCGTATCTAGCGAGCTAGGCGTTTCTTTCTAGCTCTTCATTGATGAATTGAACTATCACCAACATACAGAAGGTCTTAGTAGACATATATTGAATGTACTATGTGCTACCGGTACGGTTCGGTCTTAATTATTATCAGCGTCGTAGTGTACGAGATTCTTTTGTAGTGTTATGAGTATGGTTCTCGATCCGAGTATGCATATACCATCTGCTATCGGAAGAAGTAGTCTCCGCCTTGTATCTAACCTTCTTTCTCATCGCAACATTCTCCGGTATAGCAACATGCATTCCATAACTGGTCATAAAAAATGTTCTATCGCATGATACCAAAGCAAACTCAAAGGCCTACCTCCCTACCCTGACCCCATAACACCCACAGCCCTCGACGTCGACACATGCCCCGTCACCGGTGCCCCATCAGCACCAGTTTCAGGAATCTCCATAACCCACGCCCCACCACAAGCACAAGTCCGAAGCAAATTGAGCCGATGCATCATCTTCGTCCAAGGACCCGTCCTTGGCCGGCCTCCATCCCCAGAGACCTCACAACAACGCACGCACCGGCGTCTCCTCAACATCTGCGCCGGGCCCGAAATTTCTCGACTCGCAGCCACAGGCCGTAGAGGGAGTTTCATTAAGATATCAACATCACGACGCTTCCGATACGCCACCGTCCGCGGGTCATTCCCGAAACCGAGCCAACTGTAATCCCCCAGCACGATGTCCTTCCGATTAATCTCTGATCGAATCGACGGCACAGTCTGACTGAGCAGTGTTTCAACGGCGGAGATGAGGACGGGCGGGATACGTGCGTTCACGAGAAGTTCTTTTTCCGGACTTGGTCGCTCGGCGTCTCCGAAGCCGGAGCCTTGGTAGGCGTGTTTAACGGCGGAGTCCACACCCGCTAGGAATTTTTCGTAGATGTCCACGCGGACCGGGGAGGTTTCGAGGGCTTGGCAGATGTCGATGTAGTAGAAGCGGGATTCGGGTTCGAGCATTGCTGGATTGATTTGTTCGAAGCCGTTGCGGAGACCGCGGAGGCCGCGACAGATGAAGCGCATGAACGCGCGAGACATGCTAGAGAGGAGGATGAGGAGGGGGAGGGATGTTGTTGTTTTCACTGGAGAAAGAGAGATATTTTAGTGAGATTGTAAATGAAGACGTTGAAGTGTTCTAGGGGGTTAAGGCTTACGTTTTTGAGTAAATGCTTCCGAGTCATGAAGAACATTTTCAAAGTCATCTGCTAGATCGAAGACCTCGCTTAGGACGTAGTGGGAGAAGTCGAGAGCCCATTTTGTGTTTCCTAGAAGGGCATGTAGAATTCCTGATCTGTTGTTAGTATTTTCTGATGTGGATATTATGTTGGAACACAGCGTACCTGAATCGTGGGCCTCGGCCGGGACATTCTTGCTATTTTGGAAGTAGGCTGCATAGAGCACGGATGAATGTCGTAGTTGCAGGATAGCCCAAGAAATAGCCGAAGACAGACTCCGGGAAGGGCTTCTTCCCTTGAAGCCTAGACTTGTTTGTAGGCTAAGTGCTCGCGGGATGTATGCATGTGTCAAAAGCTTTTCCTGTTCAACGGTGAAGTTGCAGTTGACAGATAATGCGCGGTACACTTCGCTGATGAAGGTGGACTGGTTTTCTATTGAATTATCAGGAGCCCGTTCGATTTCCTATTTCAGGGGATTTCCCATAATTTACCGGGAGAAAGCTGGCCCAGGACAATCATCAGAATGTCGTCCGTATTGGCATCACTGCCAGAGCCACGGCTGAAAGCCAGAGTCAATGCCGCAATCGCAGCTGAGAATTTACCTGTAAAAGCCGGGTAAGAGTGTATTCGGTAATGGAGTGATAGATGCTGCATACTCTCATCATAAAGCCCACCGCTGGATCCGAAGGTATGCTCCATCCATCTCAGCCGAGGTTTTCCATCGCTGTCCAATGCTACAGCGGCGCAAGAGTTTGGAGAGAACGCGATAGAAAGACCTGCATGGATTAATTTCAAAGTCGATGCGACAAAGTGCCGACGTTTGTGATGGACATACCTGGTGTGTCCATTGGATACTGGAACCCTGCCTGGGCCAAGCAATTAACCGTATTGGCATCGTCCAACCCATTGAACATAGTCATGGTCTTCGTCTCGTAGAACGTAATCGAACCATCATCATGTGTAAGTGCCAGGGCAGGAGCCGTAACGTGCTCCATCAGGTCTACTGAAACAATATATTTATGCAGGTGAATGTCTTCGAGTCGGCGCATCTCGATTTTCGGCTTTTGATATTATCAGCATAACTTGCCCCAAGATAGTTGTGGTATGCCATCATACCTTAGCCTGTGCATTGCTCTTCTTTGACGCAACTTCGTCGAATTTGGGGTGGAATGTCTGCAGTGAAGAATCTAGTTGCCATCGAACAATCACACTGAGAGGACCTTGCTGGTCTGGATATTCTGGTGTGGCATGGAGGGGTTTGGAGAAGACCCCAAGAATCCAAGGGCTGGTGGTAGTTGGCCCCGTAGGGCTATCGACCTGTCCGGGGATGACTTCAAGCCGGGTCAACGAGTATACCGAATTGGGAAACGGCAGAGGTTGATCTGAGTGTTCTTCAGAGCCGAGGTTGACGCTCAAGATACTGCTGGGCATATCGATCTTGTAGTGGAGGAGGCGAAGGGAGGGGATCGGCCATTTGTTAGGGCTCCTGATTGCGGTGGGGTCCCATTTGTTGGGGTTCCAAGAAACTTCCACTCGGTATAGACAGATTTTCTGACATACAGAGTAAGTAGCCAGCAAAATGGTTCCTAATATGGGATCTGTTAGCCATCCATATGCCACATAGGTTTGAAGGGAAAGGGAGCAACGAACCTTGCGTGGCGACCATAGCTGCATGTGTCAACAAACGGTCCGAATATCCGGTATTCTTCAATTCGGCAGGGACCTCAGCCCACTTGCCATCCATATTCTGGTACATCAGTTTGATCTGACCTGCTCGTGTGACAGAGATCAACGAACTTTTCCCGGCAGGATGAGAGGGGTGAGTCGGACGCCAGCGGAATGGGGAATATGCCCATCTGTTGTTAAGTTTTGCTGCTTGTTGGAAAGCATGTACCTGTTAGCAGATGTCAGTTTTTTGAAAAATTTTCATACGGTCTCTAGGCATATCGGCCACGAGCTGCATGACCTACCTGACGCCCAGGGTTGAGCCACATCAGGCCGACAATCTGATTACTATCATCGCTGGAGTCGTACGTTGCCTGGCGCAGGCCCGTAATATTATTTAAGGCCATGAAGACTGAATATATAGACACTCGACCCAAACAGTCCACGACGGCCAGCTCCGATCCGGCATCGTTCCAGGAGAGATGAAGCAGCAGATTGCCATTATGGGCTTCGGTGACCGGGCCCAGAGGAAACTCATCACTCAGAACCCATTTCCCATCCGAAGAACGGGATTGAAGGTTCCGCACACATACTCGCACTCCATCGGAGGCGATGTAGGCTATGCCTCCTAGCCGGGACCAGGCCACCTTCCTGCGGAGAAACAAATACATGATTAGATTTGAATTACGGTGATAAACCCGAGATACACCATAACAGCGACTTACTGGCGACAACCCAGCAGGCGCATCTCATCGAGACATTGTGCCAGCCCTTTGGTGGGCGGGGCCGGTGCCGGGGGTAACCCCAGATCCAAGGAATGGGCCTCACCGAAGAGGTCGTCGACATTGATAGCTTCCTCCATGATCAATGGCATTGCTAATAGTCAGGATAGTCCACTAAATGGGATCCGGCTGTCATGCAGAGGGTCACTGGAGCCCACCCTGCATGGCACAGGTGGTCAATGCTGGGAATGCCGATATGTTGCGGGGACGGTTTGGCGGTGTTGATATGGCGAGGACCGGGATTCAATAAGCCAGGCACCGATGCAGCGTGTTCGCAATTGATTCTTGCTGAAGGTGGCGAGGGGCGTATAATTTCAGGAATATAGTAGACACTATCAGATCAACAATCCAAAGGGGGATTGACGATGATGATGTATAGCTTAGATTGGTATTAGTTCGACTTTTGAAGCATCGCAGTGCAGCCCATTTTGGTTGGTGACCCTCCCCGTGACTCTCCCGTGACTCGGCCAGGCTCCCTGCTGACTCAGCGAACCAGAAAGCGGGTCCAACTAACCTATAATACACGTGACTTGCATGGTAGCCCTGCCAACCATGGTCCACCAATCAGAAGCTATCACCGGTCCCACATCCAGCCGGGCCAATCAGCGCCCTGCAACATGAAAACTGCCGCGACGAGCACAAAGCAAAGCAGTGAAAACAGAGCCGCCCGCACGACAAACAACGGGCAAAGCATGAATGAAATCTAGAGGAAAAATCCCCGGTAACGAGAAAAATGATAAATGAATTGCCCATTCGGAGTATATACACCCCTCGTAATCGATCTATACCCCTCGTTCACTCCTCTACTTCGACTCTTCCAATCTCCGACCCAGAGTCCGATTCCTTGTCCGGTCGAGCCAGTTCGACGTTACTTTGCATCAAAACAAGCGCATCATCGAGTCCCCGCCGAAGGTGCACATACCATCGACCCGCGACCAGCAACTCTCTGCCCATCCCGGCCCATTTTCCATCAAATCTCCGCGATCTGCTTTTTCCTTCACAACAACCACATTCCACGACTCGTTTCCCCATCACAACCAAATCCTGAAACTCCTCTCCTAGACTCGTGCAAAATAAAAACTAGCGGAACGGGTTTCCCTTTTTCTCCTGGGTCTCGACGGGCCCGTGTCCGTTATTTCCTGTACCCCGTCTTTTTCGCTATTCTCTGATACTCCCTCAGTATCATCGAGCACCGACAGCTGACCTCATCGTCTTGATTCTCCCTTTTCCACCTCCCTTCTTCATCTACCACCAACCCTTCAACCTCCTCCCACTTCCTCCTACAATCTCCCCTCTTGTACCAGCGCTTCGAACTCTCTCTCCATTGATTGTGCACATGATTCCAAATCTCTATATGATTTTGCCCGTGTCAATTTCTCTGATCTGTGTGTTCCGACGAGCGGCTTGGTCTCTCCCATCCGCGACCCTTTCTGGCCCCCCTCTCTCTCCCGAGTTTGTCCAGCTGGTCCAATTCCCCTAGGGCGGCATCACCCAACCCTTTTTTTTCTCTCTTTTCTCCTCCCACCCTACGCCTACTTCCAAGACGGAGATACGCAACACGCTCCGTCATGGAAGCCCTAGACTATGATCTGTCGGACGATTCGGAGTTGAGCTCCGTGCCATCCGTGCCATCATCGTTGCGGTCCTCGCCTGAGCCGGCCACCCGGTACCTGACGCCGTCATCTCAGGATGCTGAGGATTCGACGCGCCAAGACTGCCCTCCGCCCGCGAAGAAGCGGAGACGCAACCCCCTGCCCAAAGAGCGCACCACTCAGTATCTCTATCTATCCAAGTCCTCCTATGAGCAGCAAGATCAGGTGAAATTGCTCGTCGACACTCTCCGCCACCAAAAGGACATTGTCGCCATTGCCGGCGCGGGCATCTCCACATCGGCGGGTAGTAAGTTTTTCGCCCACCCTTCTCCGTTACCCGCGTGTTACGTTGGAAAGTCCAAACCTTAGCTAACCGCTACTGACAGTTCCCGATTTTCGCTCCACCGATGGTCTATTCAAGTCTTTGCAGAAGAAGCACAACCTGAAAGCTTCCGGAAAGCTCCTATTCGATGCTGCTGTCTACCAGGATGATGCCCTCACAGGCCCCTTCCATGAATTGGTACGGTCGCTGTCGGTTGAGGCGGCTAAGTGCCAGCCCACGAAATTCCACGAAATGCTCGCCAGTCTCGGTCAGGAGAACCGGCTTAAGCGCTTATACACCCAGAATATCGACGGCCTCGAAACTTCCATGAAGCCCCTGGAGACCGAGATCCCACTCAGCGTCAAGGGTCGCTGGCCCATCACGATCCAGCTCCACGGCAGCATCACCAAGATGGTGTGCCAAAAATGTCGCCATCTCGAGAACCTAGAACCCAACAAGTTCTGTGAAGCCGACCCGCCCGATTGTGAAGAGTGCGCTGGTAACGACCGAGCCCGCGTAGGAGCAGGTCAACGGAGTCATGGTGTAGGGCGCATGCGCCCGCGCATCGTTCTTTACAATGAACATAACCCCGACGAGGAGGCGATCACGTCCGTCATGAATGCCGATATTAAGTCTCGCCCTCGCGTCCTGATTGTCGCCGGCACCAGTTTGAAGATTCCCGGTGTTCGACGCCTTGTCAAGAGTCTATGTACGGTTATTCGCAGCCGTAAGGACGGCGTGACCATGTTCATCAACAACGAGCCACCAGCGGGCAAGGAATTTGAAAATTGTTTCGATCTGATCGTGCAAGGCTCTACCGACGACGTGGCCGATCTGGTCAAGCTGAAGAGCTGGAACGACCCTCAGCCCTACGACATGCCGCTGCCAGACCCCGTGTTTGGAATCAAGCCCAGTTCCGACGAGGAGCTCTCCTCGTCAGACTCCGAACAGAAGGTGTCCGTGGTTATTACCTCCACGCCCAAGAAGCGTCCTCGCAGTGACACTGGCTTGATGACACCTTCTTCCTCTCACGATGAGAAGCCGGTGGCTAAGAAGCTTACCCAGCGAAAGATCATCAACCCGGCCAGCAGTGGTCCGAGCATCGACAGCTTACTCAACAAGGATGGCAAGCCAGCCGCGACGATCAAGGGAGGCCGCAAACCCGCAGCGAAACAGATTGCTCCCAAGAAGCGCGCCACCAAGGGCAAGACCGCGCCTGCGGCTAACAAGCCTATTTCCTCCTTCGCCACAGTCAGCAAGGCGAACAAGGTCACTGTTTCCGTTAACAAGAAACTTGGCCCTCTACCACCTGGTGCCGCTAGGGCTAATAGCTCAGTCAAGCCAGAGACCATGTTCCCTGGACTCAAGGCCGGCATTGAAGCACACCCAGTCGAGGAGGTGACCGCCGGATCGTCATAAAATTCGTGCCTTTTCCACTGTGATCGGCTCTTTTATTCATTTTCACCTCCCTATTCTCTCATCAACCCATCATCAGATGCATTACCAATGGCGCTCTGGTGTTGCTCTTCTTTCCCCATCTCCATTGCGGGGTTTTTTTTTGTTTCTTCCCGGCCTGCTCATCTGGTCTTCCAGACACTGACCAAGCGGGCCATTTTTATTTCACCATTCATCCGCCCTTCGCGAAGATACCAACGATAGACTACGGATTAGTTGCATGAGGTGGCGTTGGCGTTTTCAGTCCGGGGTGACTTGGTTTATTCATGGGTTAGAGTGCATAGCCCTGGGATGTCTCATGATGTGTTGCTGTTGCTGTGAAGCTTTACATGTTTTACTACTACCTTTTTCTAGTCATCTGGGTCGTAGTAATGCCCATTCTCTGCTGGTATGGATTATGAGGTAGCTTACGTCTGCCTTAATACATGTGAGCTTGAATGCTGCGAGATTTTTGAGTTGGTTCAAAGATATATTTTCGTAGTGAGGTCAATGTGACATATATCATCATGCGCCGTAAACTCATGTTGACATCTCAAATCTCTTGTGAGGCGTCTCAATGCTGTTCCCGGGAGATATGCCACTATATATACCATACCATCAAAAGCACCTCAGGCTTCGATCCAGCCTGCTACGCCCCGGTCAAGCACGCTCTCCAGGGACCTAACACTCGATGCAGGGTATATCCTCTCTAAGATTGCCAATACGCACTCTTCAACTAAAACGCATGAATCAATTCGTCATTATATATGTTCATTTCTATGGCGATGAGGAGCCCTCCCAAGGACTTCGCCCTCCAACCTTCACGATAGTACTAAAACCGCCCTAGCCAACACACATCAGACAACCTCCAGTAATTTTTCCAAGTCATCCCCCGTCTCCTTATCCAAGACCAAGGTCATCCCGCAACTGACTAGCAGGCCCATCATCATCGTCCGTCTCATCAGCATCGGGGTCCATCCGCCTAGGCGCATCCAAGTCCTCCACCCGATCAACATCCTCATCACCCCTCTGCCCCTCGTCATCCTCATCCCCCTCATCATCGTCATCTTCACCCTCGCCCTCTTCGTCCTCATCCTCACCCTCACCCTCATCTTCCTCTCCCTCCTCCTCCTGCGTCTCATCCCCATCAGCCTGCGCTGCACTAGCAGAGCCCGCGCCATCATCACCATCACGTTTCACCCGTTTCGCAGGGTTATCAACCATCTCGACATCCTCGTCCTCGCGCGTTGTAGAAGGACCCGCTGCGGCAGAGGAGTCGGCATCACCAGCGCCGCCGTTGGCATCGCTTTTCTTGGCTTTGCGCTTGCCAGCCTTGATTTCCGTGTAGGCTTCGAGTTCTTGTTCAAGGCGGGAGCGGAAGGAGTCAAATTCTAGTTCGGAGAGGGCATTGAAGACGTCTGCGGGGGCGACGGTGCGTTTGAGGGTTGCGTCGTTGGCGCTGTGGAGGGGAGGATTGCGTTAGTTTTGGAGTTTTCCCTAAGGAATTGCAGACGGCCAGAGGATAGGGTAGCAAGGATAGGTTGGTGTATTCCCTGCTCGACTCAATCAAGGGCGAAATAACCCAGGCAGGAAGTAGGAAGGGGAATATGTGGCTAAGGAGATTGATACAACGTACTGTGACGAGAGGTAGGAGACGAAAACGGTAGCAGCCTTTTGGATGGCCAGGACGGCATCCTTTTGAATCGTCGTGTTGGGCGGGAGCACCGATTTCGCCAGTCGGATCGTCAACGAGCGTGGGAGGAGATAGTCCTATACAGCGTAGAAGAGCGTGTCAATTCACCGTCCCGAAAGAGCCAGTCTCTTTCTCGTCTTTCCAAGACTCTGTTCGTTGGACTGGACACAAGGGTATGGCCTGCTTACATCGACGCTAACACCGAGCTCTGCCCGTGCCTTTATTTGCTGCTCCGTCGCGGTGATGGGCTTGTCGGCCGTGCCCTGCGCCTGCGGGGATAGCTGCGACGGCTCATCTGTCTCAGCCGGTGTCACCGAGGAGGTGGATTTGCGCGGTGGCATGGTGTTCCTGTGATGGAGTAGAGGCTGTGTCCTCTTTTTGTGGTGGTCGAGTCTATCTGTAGATGGTGATGGCGATGGTCGCCGTTGGTTCTCGGGATATGAATTGGGTTTATGTTGCACTGGATCTGGGCCCAAATCGGGCGAAGGATTTGTTAGCCCCGATGTCGTTGGGACTGGTCAATCCTGGTGTGCTGAGTGGTGAGGTGGCTTGAAGGGTGGCGGGTTGATGAGAACGCGAAATCCGCGACGCGAGGTTGCGTTTCGGCGGAGCGCGATGTGGGGACTGCAACTGTATGGAAGATGGTCATCAAGGCAGGACTAATATACAAAGACGAGTGGCATGGAATTCATGATATCATTCTGGATTTAATTGAAAAATTACATGCGAGAGTATAGACTCGTTTCTTAATTGCGAATAACTGCCTTAGTATTGATGCTCATTGAATTCGCTACTTCTCTGATAGAGTATGGACAAATGCCTGAACTGCGACAAATACGAACGATAAAGAAAACGATGAAATAAAAAGACCATCCATCATCCAGGAAGATTAAACGCCCACTTTTTGGTATCCAAGAATTCTAAAACGAGAACGAATGACTTCGTAAAAGGAGCAGTGAATCAAGGGTCTCAACCCCGAATGGAAGCCGGCCTTTTTTTACTCGGCCATCTCCTCATCATCGCCCTCGCCATTACCCCAAAGGCCCTCAATCTTGAATTCCTTCGCCCATTCCGTGACAACCTGCACATTGTCCACTGGACCGGCGCTAGGCTCCGCAGCCTCAGCGGTAGATCCGGCCACGGGCAGGACGGGGGCATTGGCCCAGCCCTGGATACGGCCGTCACGCCAGTCGTTGATCACGGTCATCGCGGCGCTCTCAACGTTGGGGACACCACGCTTGCCGAGACGGCCACGCTTGCGGGCCACCTGGACCAGGAAGTCGGTGGTCTTGTCACCGGTCGGGAAGAGGGTAGTGATACCGTAAACCTCCAGCATCTTGTTGATCAGAGCCTCTGAAGAGGAGAGACGCTTGATGAGCAGGTTGACAGCGGCAACGGGATCTTCGATCTGCTTGGGTGGGATGGCGTTGAGCAGAACCAGGCGGGCCTGCTCATTCTCCTTGGCCTTTTTGGTGGTCTTGCCGGCCGCGCTGGGGAAGACAATTCCAGGAGAATCAATCAGCTTGAGCTTGTTGTCAAGCTTGACGCTGCGTAGAGAGGTGGTAACACCAGCCTCCGCACCGGTGGGGCAGGCATTGCTGGAGCCCTTGTTGAGACGAGCGGACAGGGCGTTGATCACGGATGACTTGCCGACGTTGGGATAACCGATGACACCAACAGAGATGGATCGCTTCAATTGCTTGCTGTGAGCATAGGACTTGAGCGCACGGAAGAGCGTCTCCGAGGTACCCTTGACGGTCAATTGCTTGTGGTCGAAGCTGTGAGCGTTGGGGGCGCCGTTGGAGGCCTTGAGCGGAAGGGTGGGGAAGTAACGGCGCAGGTGAATCAACCAGGCCTTAAGGACTGGCGGAGGAACGAGATCAATCTTGTTCAGGATGAGGATCAGACGCTTGGAGCCAGCATCGGCAGCCATGATCTCGCGTTCAACCTCCTTCGACCGGGTTCCTTCGGGGTCGCGCGCATCGAGCACGTACAGCACGACGTCAGCCGCATCCGTAACCGTCTTGAAGACCTTGTCGAATTGACGCCGTGAGCCCTCCTTGGAAGGGTTCTGTGCGCTGCCTAGCGTGGGGGCGTCCTCGAATGTCAAGCCGCCCTCCTCTTCATCCTCATCCATCTCGTCGTCGTCCTCCTCCATCTCCTCGTCCTCACTCTCGTTCTCGTCGTATTCCTGGGCGCGGGCCCGAGCAGAAGCAAGCAGGGCCGCCATGGGGTTCGAGTCATCGCCATCAGCATCCATATCGTCATCCAGCAGATCGTCCTCCATAATGTCCACGGCCGCCTGGGGGCCACCTTGGGTCTGCTTGGACTCAGCCTTGCGAGCGCGAGCTTCCTCACGGATGCGCTCTTGCTCCTCAGCCTTCAGGCGCTTCTTCTCTTCGATATCATGGAGGAGCTTGTCCTTGAACGGGAAAAGGTTGGGAATACCAGGGTCCTTCTTGAGCTTAGACCGCCATTCCGGGTTCTGTAGGGAAAAAAGTATCAGCAGGGTTCCGAGATTTTTTTTCTGGCGACATGGATTTATTTTTCAATTACCTTCTTTGCAAGCTTCTTCTGCTTCCTCTGCTTCGCAACAGCAGCCTTCTCAATCTTGTGTCTCAGACGGACTGGCACCCGCTTAGAACTTTTGCCTGCAAAACGTTAGATGTATGGTCTGAGAGCCTGAAGAGCATGCAGGAAGACATTAGACGTACCGAGTTTAGTCATTTTGCCCGTATACCTATCTTCACTGAGTATAGACGTAAAAAGGCACACCGGTAACAGTGTCTAGTGCTCCGCAAACTCGAGTCGAAAAAGTTGAGCGCCAAGATTTCGATAAGCGGAGAAATAGTAATGCCGATCTCCGGTCCGCGGGCGGCGGGACAACTACGCCATTCGGTAGTCCAACCGCGTCAAGACGTCGAGAAGCGTTCGAGATTATCGTTCTGTTCCTTCTCCTTCTTTAAATGACATAGACATAGACATCCTTTTGCGTGTTTCTCGCGTTAATATCACTCCTCATAGAACATATCTACTTTCGACCCTCTCCTCGAACGATCCTTCACAACTTCAATCTCCGACTCATCTCCCCGCAGAACCCCTCCCACACCATGTCTTCGGCCACGACTGGAACGTTCTCTGCGCCTGCAGAGGTGCACACCTTTGATGGTCTTCTCTCCGACTTTGATGGCACAATTGTCGACTCTACAGATGGTATGGAAGACCTTCAATGCGATTCCGAGACCGATGCGACGCGGAGACTAACTATACACTCACCTAATAGCTATTGTGAAACACTGGCACCAGTGAGTCAACCAGTTAAATCGCCGATTCATACACAACACATATCTCTAACAATCAACCAAGAATCGGTGCCGAGCTGGGTGTGGACCCTAAGACCATCCTGGCCACCTCGCACGGCCGTCGCAGCATCGACGTGATGGGACTATATGACAAGACCAAGGCTAACTGGGAATGTACGTCTTCGACACCCGCGCAAACACACAGTCCACAACTCTTCTTAACACATCTCTCCAATAGACGTCACCTTCATCGAAGGCCGCATCCCCCAAGAATACGGCTCCGACGCCGTCGAAATCCCCGGTGGCCGTGATCTTCTCAGCGCCCTTGACAACTCCTCCGCCAAATGGGGCGTCGTGACATCTGGTACTCGCGCCCTGATCGACGGCTGGCTCGGCGTTCTAGGTCTCACCCACCCGAAACACCTCGTAGTCGCTGAGGATGTTGAGCTGGGCAAGCCCGACCCCCGCTGCTACCAGCTTGGAGCGAAGAAGATCGGATTGGAGAATTCGAAGAACATCGTTGTATTGGAGGATGCGCCAAGCGGAATCAAAGCTGGCAAGGCGGCAGGTTACAAGGTGATTGCTCTGGCTACGACGCACTCTTTGGAGAAGATCCGGGAGGCTGGGGCGGACTGGATTGTTGAGGATCTGCGCAGCATCTCGGTCAAGGACGTTGTGGATGGGCAGATTCAGCTTGAGATTCGGAATGCGCTGCAATAGGCGCGGAGATGTGTTGGGGTTTGGGGTTGCATTGGGTGATATAGATACAGGGACCAGGATTTGGGTTACTGCTGGATGAGTTGCACAGCAGGAGGTGATGCTCTTGGCTTGAGATAAGCGTGCACAGCAGGTTTCACAGTAGCTGTGCGATCACTCCATGGCTTGATGCCGAGTCCCTCCATGTGGATACCTCCCTCAGTCTTCTCAGTACATACACTTTCTACCCATGGTCTGTCGTCGCTGTGGTAGTGTACATAGCACCTTACTTGACCTGGTCTTGTTGATCCTTTGCTTCCTGCCCAGTTCCGTACGTACATTCTTGAACATATCTTACTGGCTAAAAGCCCGAGTAAAGGAGTTCTGGAGGTAGAGGAGGGGCACCATAGATGATCAGTTCGAGCCGTAAGGTTAGATTGCCTAAGTCTACAGATCGACATACTTCCGCTACGAATACATATATCCCACTTTGTTTCGAGACCTAAGAACCCAATAATCACTCACCTCTGGCCAAGCCATGATGATATTGGCTTATATTCGTCAGGGTTGGAAAGTAGCACATTCTCTACGCCCTTCACATATTGGGCACCGGCCCATCAATGCCTGCCGAAAGCCAATACCGAGCTTGTCCGAGACATATCTTTGAATATCCACACCCTGTCGATAACAACCTCCAGGATCAACACCCTTGGGATCAATCTGAATGAACGAAAACTTCACATAGGGCGTAACATGAAATTCCTACCCTGCTAGCTAAGTCTCGTCCGAACCGAATGCACCGACAGACTGTCGCTCTACTGCCGCATACTGTACTCGACTACGACAGAGCTTCTTGTGTGATGACGACATCTGGGCCCTGCATTGCTGCACAGTAGGCATGACGAGGGTCATTGAGGTCCGGGATTTCTTCGCCGTGTTTCAAGTTTTCATAAAAGCCTTGAAACGGTATGGATGAAGGGTGTCGCGCAGCAGGGGATCATGATCCTTGTAGGACGGACCGCCAGTGGTATATGGCCGGTTGCTACGGAGGGGCCTAGGGTGGCCACTACTGTTCTGTAGCTACATGGGTGCTATATAACTGCCCTACTCTACGCTACTGTACGCGCAGTGGTATCCAGAGGCAACGTCCAGTCCAGTAACCAATTAGCCAGCCACATAACCGCCTTGGCTAAGTCCCTGCGAACAGCAGTTCACGCAAGTTTGGCCACCGCCACAACACGGGTCCAGTCCAGAGGACAAGATTGTCAGGATCCATCCCCCGAATTTGAGATCCGGACGTGTTCGAGGAAGGCTAAATGACAGAAGCGAGAACTGTGACTTGGGCGAAGGACAGTGGAGGTACAGTCCCAGTCACATCAGAGCGAGCCGCATCGTGCAACCCGGGTGCTGCACGGCTAGGGCGCGTCTTCACACGAGGCAATTTCTGCTCGGCAACAAGCTATGTTGTCCCGTTGCTTTGGAGGAATTGGATCTCGGATCCGGCTCGGTATGCGTTGCAGATCTAGGCGTAGATCCTGATTCAGCTGCCGATATTCCGGAAGACGAGCTAGGTCACATCAAGGGCAGAAGAGCCACCGGATAGCGAAATTAGATGCAGACGACCACAAACTTCCTCGATTGGAGCGGTACAGCGAGTTCTGGTGTGCAAAATATGCAAGGGGGATCCATGGCGGATCCAGTGCACGGGTCAGAGCTCGGTCCACGGAGACACAGGCACGAATGAAGAAGAACCTGGTAGTGTACCCCCCTCGATCGTGCTCAGCTCACAGGTCTCAAATCAAACACTCGGTACGTGTGATAGCAAAAAGAAAGTCACGGTCATGCAAAACCAACGTTCATGACGATGAACTGGGGGGCGAGTCCAGTGCTTGAGCAAGCAGCACTCTTTTTTCTTTTTTGCTTCTTGCAGCTGGCCCTGATTCAGATCTCGACCACAGCATCGGGACGTGCTTGGTCGAACGGTACGGCCGCACTCTCTCCTGATCCTCGCGCGGTACATGCAGGTGCAGGTGCAGGATGCTCCCGATAGCGGACAGTGCTCTGGCGGGTCATTCATCTCTTGCCTGTTTCAGTGCAGCAGGATCCTGGGCAGATAAACTCGAGGCTTGCTACATGCAAGTACTTGCGGTTTCCTGTCGAAAGTAGAAACCTTCTCTTTGCTGAAGGATCCTCCGTATGAGCCCTTGGTAAAAAACCGCCCTTGATAAACGTCATTGACCCATGACTGGGACAAATGACTTAGCGTCGTGTTACTATCATGTGTTTCTGCCTGCATGATGAATTGTTCCTGGGCATCACGCACCGCCACAGGATCAAGCGTTCCAAAAGGTGCCGTGCCACATGAAGGGGGTGCAGAAGGAGGGGAGATCGTCAAGCAAGACTAGACAATAGGAAGACTACAAGAGTAACAGTACTCTATGTTTCCAGAGGTATTCCGTACAGTACTGAGTATGTACTTTGAGTTCAGGCCCTGGAGTGCAGCAGCAGACCAGTCACATTCCCAGGAACTTGGTGGCTTCGGTGCATCTCGTAGAGACGGAGACGAAAAATGTCTCTCAGCCTCAGTCAGCCACCTTCTGCTTCACTCCTTTCTTCCTTCCCGCTGCTTTGGACTGAGCAAACTGAAAAGCTCCGAGTCCGCTCTTGCATCGCATGAGTACAGGGGGCGCTGAAGACCCAGTGTTCGCCTTGACGAGTCAGGGCCCACCTACAGAGCCACCCCGTTCGAGAGATGACGACACAATAGCTTGAGATCTAGGGGGAGTGGCTTTGAGTAGTTACACGGGGACTTGGCTTTGAATGATGTAAATGTTGGTGCGAACGTCGATCTGAGGATCTCCCTTTCCCCAAGTGGCTAAGTGCCAAATGCTAGATTCCAAGACCAGACTAGTGGTGCCTGAGACACGATTCGAGGGAGTGATGGAGCGACAGGAAGAAAGAAGGAAAGAAAAAAAAACTCTATCCTGTCCTGTGGCTGCCGTCACACGTCGATCAGAAAGAAACCAGAAGAGTCGGGGAATTTTCTCCGGTCCCTTCTTTATTGTCTTTCTTCTTTGCCGACGAAGGGGAGTACGATACGAAGAGATCCAGGTGTATGGTATGTTTACGAATACGGAGTATTTAAGACGTGTATATTTGAGTAACGGGGTATCATTCCAAGAATTTGAGATTGTTTGATTCCGGCACAACGGTTCACGCCAGATCCAATCAATAGTCGGATGGGGGGTTAAGGGATCCGTGCGGGAGTTGCAGATCTCTCAAAGTTGAAGGATAGCTCCTGAACCAATGAGGGAGGAGGACGAAAGTGCCACTGGAGGGTTTCTACCTACAACGGACGGAGAATAGGGAGAGAGAGAGAGACCCAAAAGGAGGTGCACTAAATGGGACTTGACCAAGTCTGGTTAGCAACCCCAAGTTAGACTGTCAGTGTCGATCATTCGTGCTTGGCTTTTTGGATTTTGGGCTCTGCCCCCCCCCCCTTCTTTCTCCAGTGCTCCAGAGTAAGTACAGTAAGTTACTCTAAGCTAAGTTAGTTCGCTCGCTATTTTGACTAATTTCTGACTGATTTCAGACTCCATCTCATGACATTGTGATTATGGCGGAGATGGCGGAGGTCATAGTCGGCCCCCGTTCCGGCTCAATTGGTCCCATGCACGCCATAACTAAACATCCCAGACCATCCCGTCTCGGACTGGCGTGTCCATAGTCAAGACTAGTGATCTCGTATTCTACACTTCCCACGGGGAAAAAAATTTCCCATGAACATGTGGACACAGCGAAGACCTCGAGGGCTTCTCGGGAGGTTCTCGGCTTGGCTGAAACCAATAGTTAGAGTCCAACTATCGACGCCTGATACAGTAGTTCCCACGACAGTCCTTTTCTTCTTGGATCCGTGTTTCGTGGTTCTCGCCATGTGCGCTGTGGATTCGGTGGAGATTCTCCTTCGTTGCCGAGCCATGGGAAGCCCGTCCTCCTCGAGTCTCACGAAATAGAGTCTATGGACAAAGCCAAAAGGAAATCTGTGATCGACGGCCTTGATAAGCGCCCTGCTGCACGTGAAGCTCTCGGTTCGTCACGATTCTTGGCTGGTCATGCCGGTGGGTGATGAGATGCCATACGATCATCATGACGGAACGATCAGCCAGACGCGACATTATTCTCCTCCCTCTTAGCAGTAGACCGCACGTCCAACAAGGTCCTCGGATCCGTGATCGACCGTACAGGACAACAAGGTTTGTCGGGTGCAGAAGCATGCCACGTTGTAGTACGATTGACGTGAGTGCGGAGCCTGAGGTCTGTAGATCCCATCCCATCCCCGGTCCAGTCAGTCTAGTCTGCTCCCTACAGTACACAAGTGCACAAGGCAAGCCGTGGTTAGGACGGAGTACGTCGGACGGTACTAATCCAGAGGTTTTAGTCTATCAAGCCCCGTTGTTCATTACTCTCGTTGGTGAGGGATCACGTTGCGCGATGACAATTATCTCCGGTGAGAGAGAGGGATCAGAAGCCAGTTCGTGATCACTGCTCTCCACTTGCAGGTCCCCGAAAGTGATCCACATTGGGTCAAGAAAAGGATCGCCTGGAAATCCTCGAGCGTTGGACATTTCTGCTACATTCGAGTCAGATCCTGTGCTGAACAGGGTAGGCTGCCTCGTCGATCACTACGCGAAGTGGGATTGGATGGAGGGGTGTTCACGCCTTGGGGCTTGCAAGCCTTGGGCAGAGAACGAGGGCGAGGCCTTCGCTTCTTCCGCTGCTCTGGAATATTTGGTCTGATTAGCCCGATCACGACTATTGGCCTGGCTATGTGGATAGCTAGTAGCTACAGCGATGCCTAGAGATGGCTTGTGGGAGCCAAAGCGGGGATGGAAGTCGTTCGTACGACGGTATCAAAGTTTTTGCGATAGACATACAATACTTTTTTTGGGGCAGTGGGACGGGTCAACCCCCATAACTTAGGGTTTGCCAACATGGATCGCCTGTGAAACGTTTTGGTGTCAATCCAATGACTCCGGTTGCCCGTACTCTGGATGCTCCTCTAGGGGCGTCATCTCGTGGGGTGGCATCACTAAGAGGGAAGAAGCACCCCCGAAAAAGTGCAATTCACCGCACACTTTTAGGAATTGCAGACATTCGAATGTACGTACTCCGTAGAAGTTACCATTGGAGAAGAGGGAACGGAATATGCGATATGGGAGATGCAGGCGTCAAAAGAGCCCATCAGGTAAGCATCATGCAGTGGCCGTCGTGGAGGCAATGTCTGTGATGCTGCAAATTCTAGCGGGTTGGCACTTCAACCTTGAAAGGCATTGGGTACGGGTGGTGCTGTACCCTGCTGCAGACACTGGCCGCAGCACCAGCAGCTTCTTCTTCCGGAGCAAAGCTCTGGACAGGCGAAGCTCCATACTTTCCGAGTAATCCGGAGGAACAGCTGCAAAGCTTGGACGTGCGCCTGCAAGTCGAGGATCAGGAGATCCTCCAGACATGTTCCGATTCTCCGATCCTCTGATCCCCCGATCCTCCGATCCTCTGGGGGAGAGTCCTGCCCGAATCGGCGAGCCAACGAGGTGACGAGGAAACGAGGAAAGGGGGTGGATCAGCAGGCGTTGGCCTCGTGATCCGCGGTGCATGGAGCCTCTCTGACCAGGACATTTAGCGCCGCAACCAAGGGCCAACCAGACTATCGGGAGAGCGTGAGATGTGTTGTATCATCCAACAATGACTGGGGCCTGTTCTGACTGCTAGTGCCAGAGCCATGACCATTATTCCTCCAAGGCGGATTTGACTCGGAAATAAAAAAGAAAACAGATAAAAAGCTCGGCAGATCCTGAGTGATCGACGGGATCGGTCGACTATTGATGTTTAGGCTGGTCTTGGCGGGGCCTGCCATGTCCTGCCTCACTAGTATCTTTTGGGGGTCGATGCGGGGGCCTTGAGAGGCTTGAGAAACACGCAGGGCCAGCTTCAGATCTCAATAGTGGGTGGAATTGACGACATCATCGGGATCCATCTTGATGGTTGATGGGGGGTTCTCTCTTGGTCCCCTATCTCCCAATCCAACAATCACGTGGTACTCCCCCCCCTCTGCCAGGCGCTGAAGAGGCATAGTTGATAATTGGAGTTGACTCACTATGGAGCAGCTGAGTACAAATCGAGCTCGGGGAGCAGGGCCCGATCATCCGACCCAACGGACTGGTCTGGGATGAGGAAATATCTCGAAACACGGGCGAAGCCTGTCCTAGGCTTTAGGCGCCCTTTCTGCCTGCAAGTCTGCAAGTTTGGCAATCTGCACGGTCTGTGTCTGGCTCAGCACGTTGGTTACTACACCGTATACTCTTGGAGGGCCGAGTTCCTGGATACCTCTCTAGTTCGATCGTGAAAGCGTTGAAGAGGAGGATATGCGGTGCTTATCTTAGCGGCAGGTTAAAAGGTAGTTAGGTCATTTGCAAGTCAAACTGTGATGGAATGATCCGGAGTTACTTCGTGACAATTGGCGGATTACGATTATCATAGACATTCATTCTGTATAGGATCCAGTCGAAAATCGAACTATCTACTTTTGTTGTGGAGCAATGTTCATGTCGAGTCGACGGAGAATGAAGCCGATCCTGGACGCTTGGTTACTAGGGAATGATTTCATGTGCAGCACCACCCCTGTGATCGGTCTTGGCTCCACGACGAGCCACTTTGGGGGATCAGACATGACGCTAATGCAGGAACTGTCCAACAAGCGGCTGGTTCGGTCTCGAGCAGACTAAGTAATTTTGGTACCGGATTTACTTGAGCATACCGGATTAAATACCATATGTACCAAACGATACTACTCGTCTGCATGATTATCTGCAGAGTTATTGAGCATGCTATAATTAAATCCCAAGCTGGATAGATACAATACGCATATTATCAGGCTCCGATATATGTAAGCTGTTACCATGCAGATTAAACACCATGACTCGTGAAAAAGATCCACGGGACGCTACCCGTCGAGGTTATCATGCCTCCACAACGTAACCATGGATCGTTTGTTTACTTGCGAACCTTGTGCCTGACTAAACCACACCACATGGTCACGTCGTAATCAGCCTATCTAGTTAGCGCTAACCCCCTTTTTTCTAGTATACAGAGATAAGTGATGATGGTCAAATCAACCATTTCACGAGCCAAATTTGCACAATTTTATACTAATGAACTAGTGATAATTTTAAGTTTACAATCCACTGTCTTCGGTCGTGTACGGGGTACAAGATCCAAAATTCTCCTACGTACTTTGTAATCATGTACGACAAAAAGACCGTGGCCCTGCAAAATACCGCTTCGATACCGAGTTCAGGCTACCACATCATAGTGGAGCCCAACCTCAAACAGCGGTCGATCAGACCCTCTCTGCTGATTGGTGCCAGCGATCCAAATTGGATCTCTCCATTTTTTTTTTGTTTAGGGCTTGCCGATAGACACCGACCCTCGGGGAGGAGATGTAGTCCACTTTTCTGGGAGAATCTGTCATAGCGACTATCTCTGCGCTCCCGAACGCTACTCTAACCAGGTTATCTACTGTACCCTAAATGGGGATGTTCTTCGGAACCTCCCCTGGCTTTAGTGACCGTCTTTAAAAATTTAAACCGTGCTGTAAAAAAAGATCAAAAAGAACTTATGCACGCTCTCGCCCGTCTATTCAAGGGCCCAGGCCAGATCGGAATTTCATTCGGGGCCCGATAAGAGGTGTGTATGTGTGACCTTTCGCAGCACACAGCAAGCAGTCGGGGGCCGAGTACCTCCGGTAGGTACAGCAGCGCCAGCCAGCAAAGCCGCCACCCCCTAGAAACCCGCGCGGGTGGTAGCGCGACTCCAAGAACGTCGCAAGTGGGGAGGTTATTTTCAGTTTTTCAGCCCAGTTGAGGAGCAAGCCATTAGGAGAAAATGGGGGTGGGGGGGAGGGGAAAAGAACGAGTGCGAAAGGGAGAGTTGGTTTTTTTGGGTGGTCTTTTTAGTTGTGGTATTACGGAAATATGTTACAGCCGGCTAAAGTGGGGACCCTCTAACCGAAACTGGTGGTTAGAGACGATCTTCGTCCCTGTGCCGTGTGAAACGCTCGAGCGCCCGGGTTTAGCCCCGTCAATACCGGCACCTGGCGTCCACAGACACGAAGAACCTGTGCCAGACAGTGGCAGCTCGTATAAGGAAGAGACGATAGGAGAGAGAATTACAGAAGAGCTTTTCCAACTGAGTCCAGATAATAACAACGAGAGAGGGTAATATAGTATTAAACAATTCAGACCATGTAAATAGTCATCGCGATATAGAGCTGCTTTACGGAGTACACTGCCAAATGAAAATACGGGTACCAGATCGTACTAGATCTGTACCACAGCCCACAGCTTCCCCCGGTCTTTGCGTACCGTACTGCCCCTTACCACACAGCCCATCCTATTCGTGCCGGGATCGTTCCTCCATCACTCCATCGCTCCATCGCTTCTCCGCCGTACTTCTTGCTCCTCCTCTTCTCCTCCTTCTCTTCTTCATCACTCCCCACTAGCTACTACTTTCCTTAATTCCCCTATACATTCTTTTTCTTTCCTTTTTCTGATTTGCTATTCACTTGGCCTTATTCCTTCTAGGTCTCCGTCTCTCCTTTAATCAACCTTGTATGCCCTCACTTGGCTCTTTTCTTTTTCTACCTACGTCCACCCTCATTCTTTTCAAACTCGCCACTCATCACACCTCGCGCCGTTCATGATATAGCTCTCCTACCTCATACCTGCACTCCCCTCCTCGGCCAGCGACCTTCCTTCCTTTAGAACTCCCTGTCCCCCCTCTTCGATCTCTCTCTCTCTCCTATATCACATCACTCCTCCACCTCCCTCTTACAACATCTCACCCTCCTCTCGATCTGTCTCTCATTTCACAGCCATGAGCTACATTCACCCCTCATGGAACTACCAGCCCCATTCAGGTATCCCAATGGACCACGCCATGGCCTATGATCCAACCATGGTGCCGCCGCCCATGATGCACCACCACCCCATTGACGGCTATCTCTACCCTCATCCACCCATGGAGATGCTCGACTACTATCACCAACCCATCATGGACTACGACGAATACACAGAGAACCTCTCACGCCCTCGCCTGACCAAGGAGCAGGTCGAGACCTTGGAGGCTCAATTCCAGGCTCACCCGAAACCTAGCAGCAATGTCAAGCGGCAATTGGCGGCTCAGACAAATCTCAGTCTCCCTCGAGTAGCGGTATGTCCTCTCCGTATTGATTTCACTTGTCACCATGGTCGAGGCGACACACATGCTAACTGTACACCCGCGTAGAATTGGTTCCAAAATCGACGCGCCAAGGCCAAGCAACAAAAACGCCAGGAGGAGTTCGAGAAGATGCAGAAGGCCAAGGCAGAGGCCGAGGAAGCTGCACGACAAAAGTCAGAGACTATCGATCAACTTTCCGAGTCTCGCCAGGCGTCAGCCGTCAAGGAGAATCCCGAGGATTCCGCCACCCCCAAACCAGAGACTACTACTACCACCACCGCATCCCAAGCGACCGCCTCGACGCCGGAGACCAGCCAAGAGGTTGGTCAGACAAAGAAGCACCAGAAGACAAAGAGCGAATCAGCTCGAGAGGCAACGTTCGCATCCCTGCAACGGGCATTGAACGCTGCCTGCGCTGCCCGAGACCGCTTCACAGGCCGACGAGGCAGCAAGCACGAGGAGGAAGAACCCGTTTCTCCCACCTCGATGGCCCCTCCTAGCATTGGCTCCAAATCACAAGAACGCAAGGCCCAAGCACCCTATGGGTCTGGCTACATGGATTGGCAGAACAACGAAGAGTCTACGTCATGGGCCTCATCCCACAGCCAAGCCGAGACGAACTCGTGCCAAACAATTCCCGAGGTGCCTAGCTCCACGCACTCTGCGCTGCAGAATGTCGATGCCTTGGCTGGAGCTCAGTACCCAGCTCAGAACGGGGAATGGGCGGAACACTCCAAGAACCAGCTTCCCGGACATGGCAACCTTGAGTACAACAACATGCATTACCCGATGGCCCTACAGACACCAGATATCTCTGTCACCCGACGTGAGTCTTCTGGTGCGCTCACTGCCCTGGATGGCATCGGAATTCACACTGGAGAGTCTGGCATGCCGCAATCCTCGGGCTCCAGTGGAGCATCGTGGAAGGAGGCTGGAAAGGAGCTTGACCTTGCCGCGCGGCGCAAGCGCCCCCGTCCTGCCGCTATTGGCACCTCAAACACCCGTTCTCTGGCTGCCTCGACTTCCATGTCTTCCCTTTCCCCCACGAGCCGTGTCCCCAGCTCCGCCGGTGCCAGCAACGCCATGAGGCATTCCAAGTCGGCCCAATGTCTGAACACCCGGTATGCCGGTGTCCGAAAAGCATCGGCCGCCCAGCGTTCTCCTCTCAACTTCACCTTCGCCGAGTCTGGATCCATGAAGGCCAGCAAGGCCGAGATGCTGCGTCCGTCCGTCTCGTCGACGAGCCTGGCTCCGCCAACTCCGTTGACCCCTCAAGACTTCCAGCACTTCTTGCCTGCCTCGCCGACGGAAAGCAATTACTGCTTGTCTGCGCACTCTACAACTCATTTCTTCCCTTCCTCCCAGCCGATGCAAGTAAATATCGCCTCGCCGCCTACAACGCCGCTGGATATCTACTCCCCCTTCCCATACCAGCATATTGCCCCTCCAATGTCAGCTCCGGCGCAGGTTTCCACATTTCCCGAGTATGTGACCTGTGATCCCGTGCCCTTGACCGCTCGGAGCTGGGCAGACACTGGTTCCATACCCTCTCCCGATTTCCAGAATGGTCTCCAAGTGCCCCATTCAAGCACTGTCTCTCCCATTGGATTCGAGTCAGCGGTCGACCACTCAGGGCATGCATTTGCCATGGAGTCCGTGTCCGGCTCTCCATCCCTAGTTTACTCGGTGGAAGATGCAGACCTGCAGGGGTCAGCGGAAGCTGGTGAACGGAAGCAACCTGAGTTTATGATGCACGACTACCAGCAGCACGACCCTCGCTTTTCTGCCCATCAACTGGGCCACAAGGCGAAGGCCTATACGTTTGCGAACAACACCACTCATGGTCACTATCCTTCTTGAGATAGCTGACTCCTTTTGACAACCATTCTAGTGAACAGGATCGGTTGGCTGTGAATGAGAAATGTGCCGCGATAAATATGCTTTTGTTGATCTGGGACGAACTGCCATGCACCTTTTCGTTCCAACGTGCAGGTTGTTTTCTCCCCCTTGATTTTTCCCGTCTCTTTTGGTCATCGCTATTTTCCACCTACGGGAGGCCCCTGTTTATGTTTGATGCCGCCCGTGCGCCGATGACCAGTCACTGTTGAAAGCTGCCTCTTACATAATTTCTTCCTTCTCTTGTCTCTCTATTATTCGGTGATTGTCCCGCCGGAGGAGTTTATATACTTGGAGCATCATTTGCATTTGTGTTTATTGGCCTGGAATATTCGTTATGGGTGTCTGATACGACTTTTTAATTCTTCCGAGCCATCAATGCTCAAGATCTTTTTTTTTACCTTCTCTGTGGCCTATTGGATCACACTTTGTTCTCTTGGGGATTGGGCTTGGCTCCCTTTATTTTTTATGGGATGGGGTTTGGACTTGCATATTTGGCAGCAACTGGCTATCTGATACATACTGAGATGTACCTTCCTTCTCTATACCTACTCTGTTTTTGTTCGCTCTTGAATACTCTCTGTGACTTTTTGCTCACTTGCCACATAATCTAACCGTTTCTGGGTCTGCGCCATGGCTCAATGTGCAATATTAATCTCTCGAATACCGTTCTTCCTTCGCATGTTATTTCCGACCCTGCGCTTACGGACGAGCCAAAAGGCTACTTTGCCGACGCACAAAGTGTAGCAGGGCTCACGATTGGCCACAACTCGACAAGTCAACGCAATCGAGTTTTCCAACAGCGACTCATTTGGCGTCACTTCCTCACTAGCCGAGAGTGAGTCTTTCTGATATGGCTAGTAGCCGAGTAGTGTAAGTTTTAGTTTGTTTAGCGGCCAGCCCAATTCTTCCGGATGCTGGCACGCCCTGGTAAGCCCCGCCACGTGCGCCGCTCCGTTGGCCGTCGCTTCTCCGCTTCCCTTTGCGATCATTTCGACCCACTCCTCTGCGGAGAGCTTCAACCTTCCGGACGGTCTCCGTTGGTGACATTGGTGTAGGTATAAAAAGTGATGGCTCTGCCGATCTCTTCACGGCTTGTTTCGCTGTCCACCTGCCTGACTATCTTCAGCTCTGTCGAACTACCGTGAGCCGCAGTCATGAAGCTTTGCGCTCTGAGCCCAGCCCTTTTGGGTCTTGCCGCATCCGTGCAGGCCGCCTCGTCCTGGTCGATTGAATACTCCACCGTGACGGGATTTTTCCTGCAGGATGAGACTACGACTGATGCGTCGTCCTTTGACTACGTATGTGACCGAAATTCGAAGCTTTACTGTGGACGAAACCAACGATCTTGATCTAACTTCACTTTGGTTTGACGTATTAGACTGCTGTCAACTTTGGTCTCATCAACCGTACTTATCCCACAGACCAGTCTCTGAAGCATCATGGCAAGGACCTCACCCAATGGGAGCGCTTCTATCACCAGGTTCAGAAGCTGAATGACGAGTCCAACAAGAATGTTGAGTACAAGGTGCTCTTCCTCGGCCGCCATGGCGAGGGTTGGCACAACGCCGCGGAGACCTTTTACGGTACTCCGGCCTGGAACGTGAGTCCACACATCGTCTCTTGGCAATTTATCGCCCATCACCTAACTAATCATAAATCCTCTCCAATATAGTGCTACTGGGCCGAACTTGACGGCAACGACACCGCAACCTGGCACGATGCCGCCCTGACCACCAACGGCGTCAACCAAGCCCTCATCGCTCACAACTTCTGGCAGAAGGAGATCGACGAGCAGCGCATCCACACTCCGGATAACTACTACGTCTCCCCGCTGACCCGCGCCCTTCAAACCGCCAATTACACCTTCAATGGCCTGGACCTGCCCCACGGCTCTTCCTCTTTCAAGCCGGTGGTCAAGGAACTCTTCCGCGAGGGCGTCAGCATTCACACCTGCGACCACCGCCGCAGCAAGACCTACATCAAGGGCCTTTTCCCCTCCTGGCGCATCGAGAGCGGTTTCGTCGAGAACGACGAACTCTGGAACGGCGTGACCGCTGAGACCAGCGCAGCGCAGGATGTCCGCTCCGCAACCGCGCTAGGTGAGGTCTTTTTCGCTACTAGCAGCAAGGAAGATTCCTTTGTCAGTGTGACCAGCCACTCGGGCGAGATTTCGTCTATCCTGCGTGTCCTTGGACACCGCACTTTCAGTCTGAAGACTGGTGCTGTTATTCCCGTGCTTGTTAAGGCGGAGAAGGTTAAGGCCACCGCTTCTACTACGACAGCTGTGTCGTGGACTGCTAGTCCGCATTGCACGGCGCCCCCTGTGACTAGTGTTACGGCTTGTGTCTGCCCGTCGAGTGCGGCGCCTGTTACCACGCCTTTGGTGACGGATGTTTAGATGAGATTTTGATAGAATGGGGCCCCGAGTCTCATGTTACATGTAACAATCATGAGTGTTTGCATGTTGCTGTATGAATATTTAATTGTGTTCGACCACCGTAATTGTCTGGCTGTCTGGCTGTCTGGCCGTCCGTAACTCAGAAGTTCAACTCGCTTGTAAGGGCTCCAGCTGAGACGTATGAATCCATCATTGATACGGCTGATGTGAAGACTCGCCAGATGATGTGGTTGCAGAGACGAGATTCTGCACGGCACGCCACGTATGTACCGGATTCTTGCATGCAGAGTGATATGTGTGGTTACTGCATGAACACCCTGCGGGGGTCCGCATACCCGCGATTAGTTATCTTGTGCGCTTGATAAACGAGCCTTATTTATTAGCAGAATAGCGGACTTCCGCTCAATCTATCTTGATGTAAAAAGAAGGCCGCTTTCCGACAGGCTAAGCCATCGAGACTGGTGAGTTTTATGCTTTTGAACACAGGGATTTACCCTTCAATATAATGGCTTGGCGTAGTGGATATGGCCTCGGACTGCGTATGGTGGTACTTGTTCTATGTCTGCACATAAAACTAAGTGGACATGGCTAGCTGAGGGGATCCCCGCTGTACGATCTTATCAACCGCATTGGGTGCATACTGCCATGCAGATTATACCAACTACCTCGTTTGCGGAGTGAAGTGGAATGATTAGCTGATCCATTCGAGCGTGCCAGAGCTCATGATTGGTGAAATTCGGTCGCGAACTGGTGATCTACGTAGATCGGAACCTGGGCGAATAGTTCGGGCAGTCCAGTCCAGAATCCCGTATGCTCGTTCTTATGCGAAATAGCATAGATACATGAATGTCTCTCAAGCCTCTTCGGCGATTTTATAGCTCGATATGGGTGAGCCTGGTTGGTCTAGTTTGAAATTTGGTCGATAGGATGGAGGTACGAGGCACAATAGTGAGGCATTTGAATAGACAGATAACCCCATGAGTAGAATGGCTAGGCCATGTCAACGACTCGGTTTGTTAGGGTTTCAAGACCATGGAACCTCATTGTAAATACACAGTAAGCAACCAAGAATCACGAGCTAGCGGATATCCCTGAAGTCGAATAGGTCTTATGATATGCAATGACCTTCTGCTCAATCTTGTCCACTTGAGTCGCCATTGCCGAGGCCAAATAAGCCCCCAGATTTCGAAACTCGAACAAAGGGACTGACAGGGCGCTGTTCCCAACGATGCGTTCCCTGACGGTGCCATAGGCCCCAATCTGCGTATCAAACCATCTATCATAGAAAGCCATCAAGTCCAAAGCACCCTGCGGCTCTTTCTTGTCCGTTGCGATGGTTCCAAGGGCTTTTCTAACAGCTGACAGTGTGGTTCCGCTATTCTTGAGCCCATTCATCCAATCTTTCACAGTGAACGACGTTGTGTCCTTAAAGGTCGTGAACGGTGATTTACCATTCACCGTGAGCGTCCACATGGAGTCTATGTTGGATTTCGGCACCGGCTTTGCCACGGTCCCATCGCACCATTGGGTGTCGAGTCTGGATAGTTTGGGTCAGCTCGCATTTTCAGAAATCGGGGAATATTATTGGAAGAACCCACTCGACTTGTTCCCCATCATCGCCCTCATCATTGACATTCTTGTAGCACACAAGTACTCGGACTAACTCGTAGAGATCTTTGCCGCTTAGACTAGACTCTACTCCCTCATACAAAGACACGAAGTTCGTTCTGGGCATGATAGGACTTCTATCTTTCATGCTCTTGATGGCCGTAACCCCAGGGTTTTTCTTTACGTATGAGAGAACAAGGGAGAAGAACGCTCTCTCCTCTGCTGTGACGTCCTTTTCTGTGATTCCCTGGGGAGAGCTCTGGAAAAAGTTGTCATTGACCCAGACCATGCTGCTTACCTGGCTTTTAATCCCAGGCAAGAGAGGATTGGTCAACACGGTACTCGTTTTCGCTTCTTTGAATAACGCGTCAAGGGCAGCCATTGGTAGGGGTGCTGTAGCCTGAGCCTGCCAATTGACGGCTTTCCAGTCACCACTCTTCGATGGGTTTCTGATTTGCCATGTTTTGCACTTTGCACTGACTGGATCCACGATCTCAATTGTCATAGGATTATCCGACTTCAAGTAAGGGTTCCATGTCTCCTATACGTAGCATTCAAGGTCAGGGAAGTATTTCACACAGCTATACTAGGATCTTGACTTACGAGGTCACTCGCGATTGCCTTCGCTGCAGGTACGGCTTGGTTTTGACCAATTTTGATATTGATGCCGTTCAGAATATACTCCGCTTGAAGGTAGTTCGTCATCTCGGACGTCGTGTCCACTGTCAGATCCCAGTTTGTTGATTCGTGGCCCTTGACTGTTTTTCCCTTAGATGCGAAAGTGTTCTCTTCACCACAGTCTTCAACACTTTTGAAATTGATGCCAGATTCAAACTCTACTCCAAGACCAGCTGCTTTGTCTCCGGTGGGACCATCATTGGTGGGTGAAATGTCGTTCGTGTCGACTTCGATCTCGTTACAATCCGAGAATGGATCCGACTCATCGGAAGATGAAGAGGATGACGATGAAGTATCATCGGGATGTTTGAACGGGTTGTCGGCAGGAGATCTCACACTATGTGGAACACCGGAGACAGGGTCGAAGAACGAACAAAGTAGGAAAGCGAGCAGGCATATGCCTAGCTCGGCTGCAAGAAGACGTGAACCAAACATGATAATAATTGCTGTGTAATAGTTCTAAGTGAAAACTGGAATGATGCTCATATATAATTGTATGGAATTGGATACAACATAGCTCATTTGGAGCTTTAAATTGGCCCCAATACCCATGTTTTGCAATTGGCCTACGAGATTCCGCGGCTACTATTCTAGTATCATTGGGGTCAGAAGGTTTGTTCTCCAACGCTATCAATCTTACTGTTGGGGGCAATATAAGGCTTATGTTTCACCAGTGCCGATCCGTCCCAGTGACCAGGTTCATAGGCAACTAGTCAGGGGCTGTGAGTCTCAACTTTGTCGCTGGTCTCATTACCAATGAGAATTATCATTTCTCTATCGTGTTTCCAATCATCTAGGGCACTGTATCTATTTTACTCAATATTGCAAGGAATACATAGTGTCATGGGGGCAATTGGAACGGAGGAGCTTTATACAAGATATTTCTGAGGTTGGAGATCTCTGACTGGTCAATTCGACCCAGCATATGCTTACGTCGCAAGACGTAGCAGATTTGCGTCTGAATAGCACGCTTTCCACTCCTTTCGCCCAGTGTCCTTTGTTCCTTGTGTGGAGCTATTTCTTTGCAATCGATGGCGTTTGGTTTACCGACCTCTATCGAGTTGTCTACTTCAGGCTACCCTACGAGCTTCAAGGCTAAACAGAGAATCTATAGAAGCCCACACCTCAGAGCCCATCCATTGACTTTTTGCTGGACTCTTTACCGGTTTATTGTGTATCTTGAACCAATTACATTCCTACAGTAAATTGCCAGTCGTTCCACTATCCCTTTCCCCGGCCCGCCCCGTTAACTGAGCTGTCATTGTATACAACAAAGCCGCAGGCAACTGTGCAAGCTCAGCAATTTAGAGTATCACTTTGGGTCTGAAAATTGGGGCCCATATATAATTAGATTTCCGGTTGTCATGTGAGAGGGGCACTTCAGTGGGGGCGGGGCCAAACTACACGGCATCCCTTGGGGCCAATGAGTTTTGGGTCACTAAGACTCTTCAAGACTTTCCAGAAGAGAGGGAAACTAAAATATCAAATCCAAATAAATTTTAATCTCCCCTTCATATCGAAGTTTGAACCAACTTCTCCTTTTCATGCCGTGGCATCTTGGCCCATTCTGATCATAATGCAGGTTCGGCTTGAGTTGTCCTCTTGTCCCGCTGAAGTGATCCTCGGTGTTTTCTGCTCGCTATCCGCATTTCCCGATATACTACATCTCGCTGCAACCTGCCAAAACCATCGACAGATCTTCCACGACAATGTCAGCGCCATTTACTATTGTGTGAGTCCCTTGGCAATCCCTTGCCGACGCTATGCGCGAAAGCTTCTGGCAGATCAAGGTGGCTCCCTACCAAATGAGATTCCCACGGTTCAAGATTTCTTGCAAATGACTCGAAACTCGATCGTGATGGAGAAATCCGTTGTCCATTTTAATGAGACGGTCGTCATTAAGATGGCCCATCCACGCCGTGCTCGTATGTTAAGCCCGACCTAGAGATTGTTATTTATTAACAGTTGAACAGATAACCCCGGTGATAAGAGGTTCTTCGACGGCAATCAAATACGTCCTCCTTACTTGACTAAACGTGAGCGTCCACGATTTATTCGAGCGGCCTATCAATTGTGGAGCCTGATTCTGCTTGATCCCATATTAAGGGAGCTGAGGATAAGCACACTCAAATACAAAGACATTTACACGCTCATGGATTTAGCGCAACTTCAATTTTGGGCCGATGGAGTGCTGATCTTGGATAAAGAAACCATGGAGATCGAAAAGGCGGAAGTGGGACTGGTGGAACATCTTGGTTTATATGACCTCAGAGCAGCCAGTACGCGCATCATTGAAAAGTTTTACCACGAGGGAAGAAACCATTACGTTTGGGGGAAAGAATATGGATGGATGGGCTGTATCTCTATCTGGGAGAATTGGATTGAAGAATTTGAAGAATCGGTGGTGGATGGATTAAAGGGAGCTAGGGGGGACAAACTAATCTCCGAGGTTTGGTATGAAACTTCTGATGAGGAGTTAATGGGCTAGTCTCATGTGAGCTACAACCCTGATCTACTTCAGAGTGGCTTTGGAACTTAAAATCTGCCATAATAGGAAGTGGCTCGCAAGACCAGGTTAAGCTGTCAGGTCTTCTTACATGAAAAGGCATTAGGGTTGCTCTAAGAAATGTAAGGGCTTCCCTGAGCGCGGTCCAACCGTAAACTTGGCCTACCCATAACTTTCCAGATAATAAGAAATTAAGAATTTTCCTTCTCCCTTTCTCCCTTGGAGGGGAGAGACGAAGACCCCAGCCTCTTCATGGGTAGACCAGATGAGAATTGCAACTCCCTAACACCTAGCTATCGATGATGTATCCTAGATTCTGTGATCGAATGAGGAAGGGCAGACGAAGCATCTCATAGCTACTGGACTAGCCTAGGCAAAAGGGAGGGGTGTTTAGGCTTAGAGGCAGAGTGGAGCTATTTTCGGCGTCGATTTGGTCTCTAGTGGAAACAGGGGAAACAATCGTTGAGGTCAAGCATCAGGAACAGGACGAGGGGAGGATTATTGAGTGTCCTTATTAGGTGCAGAATAGAGAGAGATTCAGGGCAGCTGGCGCTCAAGCGGCAGCTCGCCGTCCCAAGTTCTGGGTTATATGGCAGCCGATTCTGGCGTCAGAGGCTGTCAATTTCTGCATCGGTCTCACGGGTGCCTGTATGCTATTTGTGATTACTGAAAACATGTCCCTCCTCCCTACAGTGAGCATAAGAACATCCCGGTGGGAACTTCTTTGATTTGTGGATATATTATCAGATTGAAGTCTTGGAAAGGAACAAAAAGAACCACACCAAATAACTGGTCCTATCAAGATAGTCTAAAATTGTTTGTTGCAAGGTAAGCAAGATAAGCCAACAAAAAAGTATCGATCGTCCCCGGGAAGGCTCGAACTTCCAACCTCCTGATTAACAGTCAGACGCGCTAGCCGATTGCGCCACGGAGACAAATGCTTGATATTGGCCACTCAAAAATGCATTATGACCCTGGCTTAACGATATTAGGCAAATCAATGCTGGTAATCAGTCGGGTTTGGAAGGGGCGATGCGATGGGTTGGCGCATCACTTTAATAATAGTGCTTTTGAGATCTGGCATGGAATATTATTTACCTATAGTGGATCCTATCACGATGGCAACAAGCGTGCTCCTACTAAGACATGATTTTGGTATACGTGGCTTCTGCTGCGTCAACGGTCATCCTTCAATGTTCGACAAACTGACGACATAGATCAACGCACTTTCCTCTTGAAGTCTTCCGGACGGGCGAAAGAGTCTGGGCGACCGGCTCGAGTATGACGTACATTAAGATCTGCTTCCCCTGCCCCACCTGCCTGGCTCACTTCCTTGAGTCCTTGGCAATCTACAGGCCACAGCTGCACGCACCAGCCACCACTACGGAGTACTGTAGATCCGGCTAATCATAGATCATCGATCTGAAGAATAGCATAGACCTCATATTTTTAATAGTATTCCCTCATTAAGAGTGACAATATTAGGAAAGGCAACCGTACGTCCGCATATGGAATTCATGAATCATGACTGCTCCCTGCTAATTATGGTTATTGGAAATCGCCTTTCTGGTATGTTTGATAAAGAACACTCTGGCGATCGAAACATCCGACGAACTGATTGAAAACAACTATCGTGCAAGACGACCGCCACCGACACCATTTCGTGCATAATCATGGCGAACTCGAGAGCCCCGAGAATCATGTGATACTGGCTATCCTCGGCGGTCGAAGAAACATGATTTCGGTTCATCGGAGCCGACGAAACCAAGTTTCGGGTGCAGCCACTGCGTCACCGCGGAGCCTCCCGAAGTACTCCCCCTTCCAAGTAACCTAGACTTCCAAGTAAACTAGATAGCACATTCTCTTAAAGAAATTCTTGATTATTCAACGCGTAAAAGCGTAGAGAAAATGTTAAGACGTGAACAAATACGAGACTTGTTTTTAAAACTCTGTAACATTAATATCGCAGAGAATGCACCCTGAAAGCTTGTTCGGCGACCTAACATGCTCCTTGGATACTGCGTACATAGTCCAACTTCGCCAGAATTAGGCGTGTGGCTTGGCAGCAGTAGAATCTTGATTCTCCCGAACTCAAAACCCCCGGAACATTTCCCCACAAGAAAGTACCAGGACCTGCGGCAAGCGTCACCAAGGGTCTAGACACCCATGACGTAGTGGATTGAGGGGTGAACTTTGCCATAAGTCGAGGATAAATAGCCCATGAATCGCCCTCCAACAGCCTTTTTTTCTCCATCAACAATCCAATAACCAATCAACCATCCTACCAAACAACCTTTCTACACATTTCCAAACTCTACCTTCGCAATGGAGACCATCAAGGTTCGTGGCTATCTCTCACACTTGTTCCTTTTCTTCCCTCAATATACTCACACACTCTACAATAGAACGCCGCCAACTACGTCTCTGAGACTGTCCAGGGTGCTGGTGCCCAGGCTTCCAAGACCGCCAACAAGGAGGTCGCCAAGGACTCCGATGCCAGCATCGGCACCCGTGCCAACGCTGCCGTTGACGCCCTCGGTGACAAGAAGGACGAGCACGTCCACAACACCAAGGCCGATGTCCACAAGGGTAAGCCACACACAGTCCTCTCAAAATATCTTTAACGAGCATTATCTAATATGAATAACAGAGGCTGCTAAGCACTAAATTGATTATGAATGAAATGGCGTATAATGAAGACTGTGGACTGCCGCGGTATCTCTAGGGCGGGTTCTTACCTAGAGCCGCATATACCTCATGTCGCTTTCCTTACGAATACCCCATCAGATATATTTGGCTCTCGCCCGTTATATATATATATTAAATGAATACATTTAACTTCAAAGCTTTCAATTTTGTGTTTTCATCGATTTACTGGGCTCTAATCGGATGTTTTAAACTCATTGCCTTGAAGACAATATAGACAGGGAAGGTTTGGCCAGTGTTCCCACGACTAAGGGTTTAAGTGAAGAGTTATAATCGAGTTGCCAAATCCGATCAACGAAAGATCAAGTTTAGGGAAGGAACGAACAATCTTGAGAATATCATGAGATATGAGATGAAACATGATCAAAGATTAGCTGCATCAGGCATCAGCAAGCCTTCAAAGCAGTACAGTACGTGGCTAATGCGGCGGCTTTGGTGGCGCCACAGTCTACTACACCTGATGTCGCCAGATGAGCAGCTGTCTGCGAGGCCATGATTAGGAAATGGTCGTGGTTTTGCCCCACCTTTGAGGGAAGGAAAGTCTATGCCGTCTAAGCCAGACCCAGAAGATCATTGGCCGCAAATATCCTGGGTATATAGGAGTCAGGCCCTTAATTCTATATATTCTGACTTCAAGAAATACTTACAGTTCAACATCCACATTCCATACCAGAGGCGTGTTTTACAATTAAATGCTTTCCATATGGAAAGCCCAATCATCAAGCCTCAAAATCACAGGGACAATAGGCAACCCGATATCACACATTTTCCGGTGCCCCAATTACCGCCTCCTTATGCATAGTCTTTCTGATCATACTATCGAACATAAATTGATTCACAAGTTTAATTACATTGGTCGCCGATTCATCCCCATAGGTGCCTTAACTGTCACTGCGGGTTCAGCCCAAGCTTAAGCCGCTCGTAGATTTTCATCACCTCTTCCGTCTTCCCCAGTTTGTCGTATATTGAGGCTGAATATCCACCTATCTCCTGCCCGATAGACTCATTCGGGCCTAAATCTTGCATTGCTCCCTCAAAGGTTCACTATAGAGTTGTCTTATTGATGCTGTAACGACCGTCCTGCCGGATCCCCAAAGACCGTGGAGCCACAACTTGGTGATCCTCGACAACGGCGTCTCCTGCCCGGAAGGGATAATTCGCTTGTCATTGCTGCCCATGATCCAGGCAGAAATCACTCCATTCTCAAATGACCAAAAGATGGTGCCTGGCTCTCTGTGTCGTATTATTGAATTCAAGATGGCGGTCATAGGTGTCGGGTTGAGAGACTAAATCAAGATAGGTGGAGCGGCAGGCTGTGACAAACGTAGAGTCTTGCCGCAATATTCCTCCATAGTGTCAGCTTCCGTAGTCGAGGTGGTGGAGAGATTTTTGTTCGCAATGATGGCTGAAGTCTCGCAACTTTCTTTTTTCACTGTGCTTACGGGAAATTTTCAACCCTTGGTCACCCTTCCAAACGGCTGAAACTTAGCGGAAATAGCCACTTATTATGATTGAAGTAACCTTATGTGTCGATACTGGTTCTGTAATCGCAATACTATAGCTACCCATTTGTAGAATAGTGGATCTTGGCGTTAGATTGAGTATACGATTCGATGGTGCAGTTTGTTGCGCTATATTCCAGTTGCAAACTGCTTCAATTGCGGTGACATTGGCATTGCTATTGAGGTAATCGAAGCCAAGTGCTTATAATGTCTTATCTCGGGTGTGAACGAGGGGGACCAACACCAGGTGTGTGGAAAAATTCACTTCCAAAGTCCGTCATTAGAGAATTATAGTCTCAAATCTTCACAATTTTAATGCATTTTGATTTTTGGTTGCAATTTTACTTTGATTTTGATAATTACATACAGTGAAGATATCAAAATGCTTTGAATATTCATAACTATCAATTTGAGGTCGCCTTATGACCTTCCATTCAAATCATAGGCTTCCCCGATCTCTTCTGGTGTGAATTTCTGCCACCAAAGCTTAGATATCTCAAACCAGTGAGCTACTACAAATATTCTAGAGAATTTCACTGTAAGTTAGCATAATGGATCATAGCACAAGGGCCCTTTCTTGTTTTCCGCGAAATAGATTAGAGGTCCTCCTGCTGAACTTACATTATAAAACTAGTGGCTGCCGTGTTGATCTTTGCAAGGGTGTTCACTTGCGCATTGTTCGTAGAATAGTAGCATTTGTAAGTCTTGTATTTGCTGTGGCACTTTCGCAGACCTCCTTCCTTGTCTTTTTCGTCGGCGAAGGGCATGGTTCTGACTAGTACAAGGACCACGCAGGCCATAGTGGTGAACCACATAAGAGATGACACAGAGTACGTGAGTATATACCAAAGAGACGGTCGAGGATCCGTTGGTGAAGCAGGTTTTGCGGTCTTAGCCTTGACGGAAAAGTAAGTCACAACGACGTGGATAGCGGCCTGGGGGGGATTTTATATTAGATCAAGCGAAACAGAGTTACCAGCCCCACTGCACGTAAAGATGTTTGACAAGTTGTCATTTTGCAAGCAGTGAGTACTCACAACGGATACAATATACCCAAGCATTGGCACAATAAATTGCAGACCATCTGAGAGATGGAGGGACGTGGCTGTTACGCCGAACACCCAGAAGGTGAAGAACCACTGGCCGAGGATGCATATCCTCCCAAAGCGGTATACACGCTGGATACGCGTCATGATCGTCATAAGCAGCACCTTTTCTTTTCGATAGGTGGTTACCCTCGTCAAAATATCTGGGGCTCGGACTCGGGGGGTGGATCATTGGGAGCTGAGGTTATTCGGGAGAGAGATTGCTGGGTGACAAGGGCGATCTCAATACTTTTATGTTTTGTAGGATATATGTATTATTTTATAGCTGGCTGGCTGAGAAGCTGGCTGGCTGAGAAAATCTTACAAACAACTGGCATGAACTGGTGCTTCGTTCAGTCCTAAGCTGCCAATCAACGACCAGCTTTCTCTGAAGGTTTATGGCTGAGACTACCCAGAGTGCCGATCATCTCGTATTACTTGAATGCCAAGTGTGGTTTGCTGAAATGAGGCCCGAGTTTTTCGATGTATGTAATTTTACCTGTATTTCTACGTTTTTTAGATTTCAGAGAGGTTGACAGCCAGGCTACATATTAGCACAGCAAATTGAGACAATAAGATCATATGACTATGACGAAGACATTTCCTACCTGACCATGGCTCGTTCTCGCCTCTATCCCCCCAGCCCCCAATGCCCTCCCGCCGTTACCTAGTCCCCC